AGCAGTGAACCCTTATTTCTAACTAACTCCACGCGTCCGAAGTCGCGGGAGGCCGCTACTTGTCAAATAACTATGGAGTTTGACAGTTAGACGCGATAAAAAAACTTGATATAATGTAAATTGGGGTGCTCATGCTACTAGGACTAAATATTAGTTATATCTGCCATAATTTGCCATTTCGTATTTGAAATTATAATGATTTTTTTTCTAAAATATCGGATACCGATCCGATTGAAACGGTTACACATAAGGTTAGCATATAAAAATACAATATAAATAAGATGATGCTTTCTACAAAGTTAAATAATTAGCCCTGAAAACAAATATAAAGGTACCGCAAAGATAAGCTACAATCAAAATTACATATTTTTAGTGGCGATTGGTTTTAAAATAACCTAGTATAAGGACGTAGCTGAACTGTAGGAACTTTCGTAACATCCCCATCTCATTAATGTACCTATGCTCCACCCACAATAAATAAATAAATATAAATATTTCCAACACACACACCAATTAGACTAGCCCCAAAATAAGCACTGTAAGGCTTGTGTTATAGGATACTAGGGTAACGGACAGAATACATATATATAAGTATATTTATATAGAAAATACATATTATGCATCAATGATAGGAGTACCAATGCTCGTATTCATCACATGAACATCTGCCCCCACCGGGATTCGAACCCGGGACCTCTCGAGTCGGCGACACCATGAAACCCGGCGTACAAACCCCTCGGCCACGGAGGTCGTTTCCAATGTGTTATGATTATTATAACCTGTTGCGACAGCGCCATCTAGTCACTCCTCAGTCAATTAGATGAATCTACATGGCTTGCAAACTTCGCATTAAAAAGTATTCAAGTTTCGACACACGTCATCACACTAATAATTATAAAGGCGAAAGTTTGTGAGTGTGTATGTTTATTACTTCTTCACATCTATACAGCTGGAGCTATTTTAATAAAATTTGGTACGGAGTTAGCTAACACCCTGGATTAACACATAGGCTACGTTTTACTGCGGGAAAATATTCCTAATAAACCGCGGGGCACAGCTAGTGTATTATATACGCGGAAAAAAACGTGGTAGAAAGACTTTTTACTGACGAACGAGCAGTAAACATCGGAACCGACATAACGAATTCTTTCAATTGGGCACCAAATTTATTACATAAGGGCCGTTAAAGTATTACGTAAGCAGATTTATTACAATTATTTACCCCCCCCCCCTCCCCCTCGTCAGCAAAAGTAAGCAAAGCTCTTACCGCTCCCCCCCATCCTTACGTAAACATTGGTACCTATATGCATTTTTCCTTTAATGTATACTGTTTTTTTTATTTATTCATGAGCTTTCATGTTCTTCATGACCAGCAGTACTTAAAAAGGCTTAATCCCCCCCCCCCAAGTCATCAAAAATAAGCAAAGCAGAGACCCCCCTGCCCCCCTATAGTGCTTACGTGATACTTGAACAGCCCCTAACCTTTTAATAAAATTCTCACAAAAGCTATTATTCCGAGCATAGAGTAGTTAACAGATATTTACTTGCCGGCCTGAAATCAATCTCATACTCCGCGGAGCCCTGCTAGCTATCTCCATCAATCTTCAAGGGGTGTATATTATGAAATAAACATCAGTATACTGGTCAGTGGTAATGACGTCACGAATCCGACGCCATCTTGTACTGGTATGCTACCATATTTTTACCGGGAAAACGAATATGATGTATGACCGAGCGTGCGTGAGATGCATTCGAATTTTATTTCTTTTTTATTTAAAAAACAATAATGGCGTCCGAACAAAGAGAATAGGGGTTGTTAACGGGGTACAGTAAACGAAATTCTATTTAATCCGTCAGTCAGATGATCAAAAAATAATGGACACTTATTTTTTCTTTGGGCAATCAACCAAAAAATGACAAAGTTATAGCGCGTCAAAGTTTGGGAGTAGGGGCTCGTGACGTCACTTTTGAGTGAATTTTCACTTATAAGTGTACTCAAACGTGACGTCATGCGACTTTTCAAATCAATATATCTCTGCAATGTTTATATTATGTGAAAAAAGAAAAAATACGTGTCCAATACTTTTTGATAATCTACCTGATAAACGAAGAAAAAAATTAGTCATCATCCCTATTCCTTTTAATTGATGAGTTGAATCAGAAATTCTTCTTTATTCGCACTATTTTTAATACTTCGTCGAGTTATGACGTCAGTGCACTGGCCTGTATAATTCGGAACAATTCACCAATATAGCGTCGATTCATGACGGCATTAGCACTGGCCAGTATACTGGTATATATTACGGAAAACACCCGAGATGTTCTCGGTTACAATCTCGAATAAACTCAATCATGGAATGAGCAAAAAACAACTAATTCAACTACAGAAACTTCACTCTGTAAGTAGAATTAAACGCAAACAAATTTCAATGTTAAATATGTATTTCTAAATAATAATATACTTGTATATGTATCAGTATATGTATTCTATCCGTTACCCTAGTATAACATAACACAAGCCTACAGTCAGTGCCGTCTTTGACCTATTGGAGGCCCTGGGCATATTAGGATAATGGGGCCCCTACGACCCCGTTTGGTGATTTAACAGGAACTAGGGACTTTGTATTTGATCTGAGGGGCCCCTATCGATCGGGGGGCGCTGGGCACTTGCTTGCTTACTTTGGGACTAAGCTAATAGGGGTGATGACGGGGTACAGAAAATGAAATTCTATTTAGTCCGTCAGTTAGATGATCAAAAAATAATGGACACGTATTTTTTCTTTGGGCAATCAACCAAAAAATGACAAAGTTATAGCGCGTCAAAGTTTGGGAGTAGGGGCTCGTGACGTCACTCTTGAGTGAATTTTCACTTATAAGTGTACTCAAACGTGACGTCATGCGACTTTTCAAATCAATATATCTCTGCAATGTTTATATTATGTGAAAAAAGAAAAAATACGTGTCCAATACTTTTTGATAATCTACCTGATAAAGGTCAAAAAACATTAGTCATCATCCCTATTGGTGTGCGTGCGCGTTAAAAATATTGATTTATCGATTATTCATATAAAACAGTCACGATACGATTCTCAGATAAGAATGCTCGCAATCATTCTTCAAGCATCTGCGTCTGCCAGGATTCGAACCTGAGACGACATTTTGTAATATCACTCCACGATATCGACATAAAATCGAAGTTATTGAAAGCACGATCACATATGAACAATCAACATTAAATTCAAATGGTTAATTGTAAAATGTAGATGCGTAAAACAATTTGGTGTTATGTTAAAACGTTGGCAAAGAAACTTATAGCCTGACTGATAATAAGTGGCCAAAATAGCCTAAAGGCGCTTACGATATCTATTCTATCTATTAATAGGGTATTTGACAAGTTTTAGAAAACGATCTCACGTTATTGACTAATGTTTACGGAGTCCGTAAAAAGTGGATATTCATCATTCTGTCGTGTATTTCAGTAAAAATAACCAAATCAAAAACTCCATTTTCAAGTTGCCTCGAAAACGTTTCTCTGCACAATACGGCGCGGCGTCTTACTAGTGTGTGACGTCACACGCCTGTTATTAAAACGTCAAACGATACAATGTAATGTCACTTTAACCGGAAGTTTACTTGCGTGTGACGTCATTTTACGCTCCGCCAATCCCAAGCGTTTTGGGTCACGTGACAATTAGATGAGAAAACTATTATCTTTTTGGTGTGTTTTTAGTAAAATTATGAACATTTTGTTTGTAAAAATAGTAAAAACCCCTGCCAAAATTCATTCTTTTTTTTTAGCAGAAAATTTCAATGTCTTTTCGGGCGTGCGAGATGGCTTTTTCAACAAAAAGCTCTTCTCTTATTGTTCCATACTGATCTCCAGTTATTGCCTAATATATATATTCATTCTAAACACAGATAATAAATAAAAATATCTCCAACACTCACACCAATTTAGCCTAGCCCCAAAGTAAGCACTGTAAGGCTTGTGTTATGGGATGCTAGGGTAACGGATAGAATACATATACAGTACATAGTATATTTATATAGAAATACATATTAAACATCCATGACTGGAGTACAAATGCTCATGTTCATCATACAAACATCTGTCCCCACACCTCTCGAGTCGGCGACACCATGAAACCCGGCGTACAAACCACTCGGCCACGGAGGTCGTCATATGCCATATGCGTCAGACGTCATATGTCATATGCGTCAGATGCTAACAATTGGCACTTTATTTTTAATACTGTCAAATACCCTATTGCATTCCCCTACCCCGTGGAGCTCTGGAGACTTCCTCACCGATAGAAACACAACACCAACAAATGTTAGTGTTAATTTTACTGTAATCTTCTGTAAGGTGGAGGTTACTCCCCACTAAGCCCTACCCCTCTTAAAACCCTACTAATATTATAAACTAGCGGCCCGCCCTCGCTTCGCTTCGGTGTAGAGCTGAAGTGTAGACTACAGTTGCAAAGTCTCAGCCCGATCGGTTAAAAATTGACAAAGTTTCATACAAACATTCATTCCTTATTTTATCCCCTTGGGGGTAGAATTGATCAAAATCCTTTCTTAGCGGATGCCTACGTCATAACATCTACCTGCATGCCAAATTTCAGCCCGATCCGTCCAGTGGTTTGGGCAGTCGGTCACCTTTGAGTTTTATATAAATAGATAGATGTATAGCGAAAGCTTGTATGTTTGTTACCGAATCACGCAAAAGCTACTGAACGGATAAAGATAAAATTTGATACGCATACAGTTCACGATCTGGATTGAGACATAGAACACTTTTTATACCGATAAAATGTTAGGTTCCCGAGGGATATGCAAAAAGCTAAAGTGAACGCGTACAGTAAGTTAATAAAATTATATATATTGTATCGCTACATCACTAATTGGCATTGTACAAGTTTGTAGCTTATCCCCGCAGCACTGGCGCGCAGTGAGTGCCCCATTAGCGTCGGCAACGCTCGCTTCGCTCGCTCGCTCACCTGTTCTCGCTTGCGCTCCTTCTCCTCCTTGTCCCGCTTGCGCACCTCGGCCAGGTACTCGTTGAAGTAGGTGGTGCGGTCGCGGGGTTTCTCGATAGCCTTGAATCTCTCGTCGCGACCGTGCTTCGACGAGAAATCGTTGAACGACGACCTGCGTTATAATAACAAAAAACTAGCAAACCAGTGAACCAAATGTTCACCAAAACCTGATTTAAGAAAAAAAAAATGTATTTAATTAATTGAGAACTTCGGAGATTTTGTGTGGTTTCGTTTGAAATTCGTGATTTCTCGAAAACCGGAAGTGCTACGTTACTCAAATCCGGTTTGTAGTCTTATCAGACTATTCTTAACTTATAATAATAATAATATTCTTTATTGTATAACACCACAATGGACATAACAGTAAGATTACATTGACAGAGAGACAATACACAATGGGCGGCCTTATTGCTTAATAGCAATCTCTTCCAGGCAACCCATGACGGAAAATTAAATAAGTATTAAGAACAAAAACGTAAGAGATAGATAAAGAGAATATTTAGTATAAATAACTTAAATATTCTCTTTATCTATCTCTTACGGTTTGGCCGCTGAAACAGCACCACAGACGGACGGACGGACTTGTCTAATAGATAAGAGATAATAATAGCAGAGGGGCTCGATGGCGCGGGTGGTCAGCGCGTTCGGCTGCGATCATTGAAGTTAAGCAAATTTCGCAGTGGTCAGTCATTGGATGGGTGACCATAAATTTACTATCTCTTGTTCCTCCGTGCTGCGGGAGGCACGTTAAGCCGTTGGTCCCGGCTGCGTCTGCAGTCGTTAGCACCCGCCAATCCGCACTGGGCCCGCGTGGTGGGTCATGGCCCAATCTCCCTATTCCATCCATAGGGAAGGTCTGTGCCCCAGCAGTGGGGACACCAATAGGCTGATGATGATGATGATTAATAGCAAATGAAATTCCACGCGGACCAGGCAGCGGACGGGACTCGAACCCTTAAGCTACCGCGGCCCTAACAGCCGTGTCGAATTTTGTCTAATAGCCTTGCAGCCCAAGAAATACTACACTACATGTGAAATGTATAGTGTGTTAAATAAATAAATCTCTCACTCACAAAAACGAGTTGACCAAATATTCGTATACGAGGGTAAATTATTTATCACGTGATTATAGACAAAGGAAAACAAAAAATTGTGTGTACGGAGCACACATCTGAAGTGAAACTTGTTTTCTTGAGTAACCTAACATTAAGCGGTGCATAAGGCATACGAGAATGGAGCAATATATATGTATACATTTGAAACCTCGCCTCATACATATTAGCAAAAAAAAAACCTACTCCAAAAGGAATAAGCCATTTGAACATTATGTTTTAAAATCAAATCAAATAGCGCGCGCTTTCGCGACTTCCTGTTACACACTTCCGTCCCATTTCACGAAATCACTCCCACAAATTGCAGGAAAGCGAGAGGAAAGATGTTACACATCAAAAAAATAGTGTGTACGGAGCACAGATCTGAACTGAAACTTGTTTTCTTCAATAACCTAACATTAGCCGGTGCATAAGGCATACGGGAATGGGGCAGTGCACGCTTCACTCATATATACGTATATATATTGTTGTGTGTGACGCTCGTAGCGTTTCAGCCTTCGCCGAGTTACCATCCAACTATCATGCTGCACATACATGTGAAATGTAAGTGTGTTAAATAATGTATGTGCAGCAACACATATATATATACATATACTAGCTGTCCCAGCGAACTTCGTACCGCCATAAAAAAATAGGGGTTGGTGGTAGAAGGGAGAAAATTTAGGATTTGTATGTATTTATGTATGATGTATCATAAAAAAATTAAAAGAAATATATTATATTTTTTCGGCGGTAGGCGTAAAATAAAGCTACATTACTTCCACATTTAAATTTATTTTAAAAATAATATTACAAAGTATTTTTCATAAATTTTGCATTAATAAGTTAATAATTATCCTTGGTTACATCATACATTGTAGGCCACTTTGTGTGATGTCAATTTGAGGAACTGACCAGCATTAACCTGCCATCACATCACTCACAGTTGTTTGCACATATTTCAATTTTAACTACGCTTCACCATGAGCAGTGTTGCAGCGGTACTCGAAACCCAGAAATCACTGGAAGCCACCTTGATGCAAAGGATGCAGCAATTTGAAACCCAGCTAAAATCGTCTACAGATAAGGAGAAGGTCCCACAGATACAGGAAGAGTTTAAGGCTTTCAAGGAGATTGTTTGGAGTATCCTGTCACTTCTGAGGCAACAGATCGGTGAGATATTAAAATCTCTCGACCAGCATGAAGCTAGGCATCGAAGCAAACATCTTCTTCTTTGCGGTGTTCCAGAAAATGATAATGAGGACTTAAATTCTACTGTGATAACATTGCTCCAGAAACATTTGGGTGCCACAGACCTGGATTCAAGTTCTTTAAAAATATGTCATCGACTTGGGTCAATAACAGAGGGTCGTAATAGGCCAGTGGTTATTCGTTTTGCCAACTATAACATTCGGTCATCTGTGTGGAAAAGCAAGTCTAAACTCAAAGGCTCTTCACTTGTTTTGAGAGAGTTTCTCACTAAGACTCGACAAGCCTTGTTCCACTCTGCACGTAATCATTTTGGAGTTTCCAGTGTGTGGACTATGGATGGCAATGTTTACATTAAAACACCGAGTGGCAACCGTTTACGGATCTCCTGCAACGATGAACTGTCTGCGGCAATACACCAATTTCCCGGTACAGAGATTGCGGCAACCAGTGAGCCCACCGTTGACCCAGCATCAGCAGTATCCCAGCAGGTGCAGACGCATACTCGGTCTAAGCGTAATGTAAAAGTTGTCAAAAAGTAAGTTTTGTTAAAGTGGTTTACATCTTCTGTTCAGTTCATACTTTTGCTCTGAGATCGTTTGCATTGTTTTTGCTTTGATTACTTTTGTCGTTATCGCTGCATATCTTAGTTGTATTATTTGTTATAAGTGGGTAGCTTCACTATCGTTGTTTGATTTTTTTGTTGTTTGTAACTAACACTAAATGTAAGGTAATTACTTTCTTTCTAATAAGTGTTTTAAGAATTTTTGTGATGTTTTTATAACCTTTGACACTTACAGTGACAATGACATTTAATGACATAACATGTCAATGTGTTTTTTTTTTTATGGCTTCGATACTGGACTTTTAAGCCACATGTCAATATCTTCATTTCGTTTTAACTAATTGCTTTAAAAGGTAGGCAAAGACATTTCTCTATACTGCCATTTGTAGTGGAATGTTGGTCAGGTTTTGAAGCTGCACATGAGTTGAGTGTTTAAATATAAAGATATTTTTTTTGAGTGTATGTTTTAAGGTTTATCTGTTTCTCACTGTATTTCTTTTATATCGTGTCACACTACCTACTGTAAACACTTAATCGGCAGGAAATGCAGGTCTTAAAAACAGCAATTTATTCAAACAATTTATTGCTTCATTTTATTTATATATATATTTTATTCATATATCATTTTGTTTTGTGAACTTTATTTAGTATGTCTGATATTAGCGAATACTGTTCAGCGGAGGATCGCACCTCATCTTTTTGCTCCCTTAGCGACTGTTCGAGCGACGATGCACATGATTTGGGCACTTTCGTGGCTAAAGAACTCAGTATCACTGGAACTTTGAATGTTTGCCACGTCAATGCTCAGAGTGTTCCTTGTCATTACTCTGAACTTTTGAACACTTTCACTACTAACTCGGTAGTCCATGCGGTTTTGATTTCGGAAACTTGGCTAAAGCCTTGTTTGAGTTCAACATCTGTTGACCTTCCAGGTTTCACTCTTATTCGTAACGATAGAATTGGCAAGGGTGGCGGGGGAGTCGCCATTTATCTATCTCAACATATACCTTATAAGATTTTAAATTCTTCCTCATCTCATTACGATTGCATGGAATACTTAATTCTTGAAATTGACGTTAAATATTGTAAAGTTCTTCTAGGTGTTGTTTACTGCCCCCCTTCAGTTCCTTTCTTAACAGATCTTGAAACTCTTATTGATAATATTTCATCAGACTACAGGCATCACATAATCATGGGTGACTTTAACATAGATCTTTTAAAAGATACTCATTCCACGCGAAGTTTTCGATCCATATTTGAGTCTGTGAACTTCTCTATCTTACCTCTTGGTCCGACTCATCATAATATCATTACTGACGACTCATGGATCGACCACATTGTAACGTCCTCACCAGACTTTGTCTCGAAACACGGTCAGCGGTCAGCGCCAGGGTTTTCGAAACACGACCTGATTTTCTTGGCGTTCAAAGTAAAACCCCCTAAATCTAAGCCGACTGTTGTGCGCATGAGAAATTTCGCGAGGCTTAATGTAGAGAAGCTTTTAATTGAAGCAAGTGCCATTGATTGGGCGCCTGTATATGGTGCATCCTCAGTAGACGATATGATTTCAATCTTTAATGCTGCAATCATAAAATTGTATGATCAACATGCTCCAATTAAAGCTGTGAAGCTGAAACGTCCACCTGCTCCTTGGATCACTCCTTTGGTGCGCATTGCAATGAGAAGACGAGATAAGGCCTTTCGTGTTTTTAAAAGATGCCGCACTGATGCCAATTGGGAGGCTTTTAAGAATGCAAGGAACCGGTGCAACCAGATGATAAGAGGTGCTAAACGTCGTTATATTCATCAGAATATAACTGATTCTACTCCAGCCGAAATGTGGAAATTCCTCAATTCAATTGGTATTGGCAAAACACGAACTCAATTTTCATCTCCTTTCTCTTTAAACGATTTCAACCGACACTTTTCTCGGCATAACAAACTTCCTGACACTGTTAAATTTCTCACTATTTCCAAACTTTCTTCCACGGCTACTCATTCAAAAGATATTTTCTCCTTCAGCACACTGACTGAAGATGATATCCGTAAGTTCGCACTTTCTATTAAGTCTAAGGCTATAGGATTTGATAACATCAGTAGAAACATGTTTATCTTGTTATCGGATTCCGTACTTCCTATCATAACTTTTATTATGAACAAATCCCTATCTTCCGGTTCATTTCCTAATGAATGGCGTAAAGCTTACTCTATCCCTCTTTCCAAAATTTCAAACCCTTGCACTCTTGATCACTTTAGATCAATCTCTATTTTACCGTACCTCTCTAAGATTCTTGAAGCTGCTGTCCATCAACAGCTTTCTTCATTTGTCTATCGCAACCACCTTCTAACACCCTTCCAGTCGGGGTTCCGCCCCGGACACAGTACCACTACGGCGCTTATTAAAATCGTTGAGGATATACGCGATGGCATGGAGGAGTCACGGTTGACTGTGTTGGTACTTCTTGATTTTTCTAACGCTTTTAATGCAGTTGATCATGATATCCTTCTTGCACTTCTTGCCCAACTTGGATGTTCCTCCAATGCGCTAAAGTGGTTCAGTTCTTACCTTCGGGGGCGTCAACAAGCCGTAAAAATAGATCAATTGATCTCTAACTGGTCTAACTTATCTGCAGGGGTACCTCAGGGAGGCGTTATCTCACCTCTTTTCTTTTCTATATTTATAAACTCCCTTGCTTCCATTATTTCCACCTCTTATCATCTGTATGCAGACGACCTTCAATTGTATGCGCAGGACACCCTGCCCAACTTGGGGAGGGCCGTTTGTTTACTGAATGAAAACCTCTCACGGATACGTGAGTGGTCTGATAGCTTTGGGATTACCATCAACCCTGTTAAATGTCAGGCGATCATTATAGGCAGTTTTCGCCAAATTTCTCAGCTACATTTGAACACAATTCCAGCTGTTACATACGATGGTATAGTAATCCCTTATTCTACGAACGTAAAAAACCTTGGGCTCATACTCGATCACTCTCTCAGCTGGGATGGCCAAATGGAGAATATATGCCGCAAGGTAAATGGCACACTTGGTGCGCTTTATCGCCTAAAGAATTTTCTCCCACCGTGCACGAAAATCTCTCTGGTACAGTCCCTTGTTCATCCCCTCTTTGATTATGCTGATGCTTGTTTTACTGATATAAATCAACAATTTCTTAATAAGTTGGATCGTCTTCTCAATAACAACACTATTCGCTTCGTTTTTGGTTTACGTAAATACGACCACATTTCCGAGTTCCGCAAAAGACTTAAGTGGCTGCCTATTCAAGAGCGTAGGTATTTGAGGACAGCTTGCACCCTTTTCAACTTACTATACGATCCACGCACCCCTGGATATCTGAAACCGCGGTTTAAGTTTCTGGGGTCTTCCCATCGATTAAATCTCCGCTCAAAAGATAATATGATACTTGAAGTACCGATTCACCATACTAGATTTGTCTCCAGTTCATTCACCCTTACTGCCATTCGGCTCTGGAATGCACTTCCTCTAGACGTTCGAAACGCTCCAAACAGGACGGTGTTTAAGAGTTCGGTGCGGGAACATTATTTGAATCTATTGCATAGTGCTTAAGCTGAATCAGGATACTAAAATCGGACACTATGTTATAGGTATATTATGTATATATTTATGTATATATGTGTGTGTATGAATTTATATTTATTTTTGTATGTATGTATATGTGTATGTATTAAACGCTATTTAATTTTGTTTTTTTATTGTTTGATGTTTGTTCTTTCCCATGATTGTCTGCCGTTTTATTGACTCTGCACGTTCTTTCCGGTTGACTGGTAGAGAATGCCATGCTGGCATTAAGTCCGCCATATGCAATGTAAGGCATTAAAGATTAAATAAATAAAAAAAAAAATAATTATATCTAAAATTAAAAAAAAATTAGGGGTGGATTACCCTTAACATTTAGGGGGATGAAAAATAGATTACATCTGATTCTCAGACCTACTGAATATGCATATAAAATTTCACGAAAATCGGTCGAGCCGTTTCGGAGGAGTTTAACAACAAACACCGCGACACGAGAATTATATATTAGATATATATATGTGGGATGCGTGCGCAGCTCTTACCGACTAGCATGAAAGTTGATATTCTGGTCGGGAAGAGAAAAGGAATTGCGTCACGAGCGTCACACACTAGTGTTGCCAGGTCGGATTTGTTTTATATCGGTACATGAGGTCAAAAAATCGGGTTAAACATCGGGACAGGACACAAAAAAGGGGTTTTTAAGTCTGGGTGTAATTTGTTGCGTTTTAAACTACTAGTGCAAGTGTAGTATTACATTAATTCATCTTCATCATCATCAACAACAGCCTATCCTAGTCCACTGCTGGACATAGGCCTCTCCAATTGCACGCCACTCAGATCGATTTTGGGCAAATTTTATATTAATTACCTAAGTTTATTTTTTTTATTAATCTGGACATTTTGCGTCCCGATCATCGGGACACCTGGCCACACTATCTGTAACGTATTTCCGTTTCATCTTTTCCATCCACTGTAATAATCAAAAATACTGACTTGGAGTGCAGCTTGGCCTCCTCCATGAGCTGCCTGAAGGCAGTCTTCTTCTGCTGCAGGCGGTTCTTCATCTCCTTGCGTTCCTCTTCCGCCCGGTCCCGGACGTATTGATCGAATACCTGTAAACAAAATGCCATCCATATAAAGAAAAATGATAACGTCAAAAAACACGTCAGTCTCTTGCCCCTTCTTAAATATTTTTTTTTTTTAAATTAATAATAATAATATTTGCAACACTCACATCAATTAGTCTAGCCCCAAAGTAAGCACTGTAACGCTTATGTTATGGGATACTAGGGTAACGGATAGAATACATATACTGATATATATATATACTAGCTGACTCGGCGAACTTCGTACCGCCCAAAAGTAATAATTTGCAATAAATTAAAATTGCGACTATAATTTGAGATTTAAACTATCCTATCTCTCAAGTTGGATCGAACTGCACATGGTGTGCGAATTTTATTATAATCGGTTCAGTGGTTTAGGAGTCCATTGAGGACAAACATTGTGACACGAGATTTATATATATTAAGATATATATATAAGTATATTTATATAGAAATACATATTAAACATCCATGACTGGAGTAGAAACGCTCGTATTCATCACAGAAACATCTGCCCCCACCGGGATTCGAACCCGGGACCTCTCGAGTCGGCGATACCATGAAACCCGGCGTACAAACCACTCGACCACGGAGGTCGTCAATTCCATCTTTTTCTTACCTGCCGTCTCTCCTTAGTGTCCAGCATCAAATTTCTGGGATCGAAGACAATCTTGTGCAGCTCCTTCTCCCAAGCACTGAATGCGGACACGTGGTTCTCGTGCAGCATCAGCAGGGACGCTTTCAGCCTCTGCTCGTGAGGCACTACGGCTGAGGAGCGCGAGCTGCGATCGTTGAAGTTAAGCAACTTTCGCAGTGGTCAATCATCGGATGGGTGACCGAAAATTTATTATGCTCCACGAGCTCCTCCGTGCTTCGGGAGGCACGTTAACCGTCGTTCCCGACAATCCGCACTGAGCCCGCGTGGTGGGTCATGGCCTAATCTCCATATTCCATCTTTATCTTACCTGCCGTCTCTCCTTAGTGTCCAGCATCAAATATCTGGGATCGAAGACGATCTTGTGCAGCTCCTTCTCCCAGGCACTGAACGCAGACACGTGGTTCTCGTGCAGCATCAGCAGGAACGCCTTCAGCCTCTGCTCGTGGGGCACTACGGCTCGTTCTCGGGCCGCTCTCATCTCCGCTTCCATTGCAGACGCCGCCCCAGCTTCGATTCCGCCCGTGGCTGTGGTAGATTTCGTTGGTACTGGGGAGAGGAAAATGAGGATTTTATTTATTTTTTAAGCATTTAACTGCTAGATGTTTAAATCTAAAGAAAGAAAGAAGAAAGAAAGAAATTTTATTGACCATAACTAAACTATTTACAGTATTTTTATATAAATATACTAGCAAACCCAGCGAACTCCGTTTCGCCACCAGATAGCTTCGTTTTATGTAACATTTCGTTTTGTGATTAAAAGAAAACGATTTTTTTTTAATTTTTCCTGAATTTTCTTTCCTATAAACCTCACGGAGCCCGAGACCTTTCCAACGAATGCAAAACCGTGGAAATCGGTTCGTGCGTTCTGGAGTTATAGCGTCAGGAAGGAAAACCCGACTTATTTTTATATAGTAGATAATATATATTAACAGTATTTTTAACCTAAAATAAGGACAATAAAAAAATATATATTTTTTGGTCAACTAGGTCCCTGCCTCATCTTGATGAGCTAAAGAAAAGTTTACTAGAAAAAAATCCACGCGGACCAGGCAGCGGACGGGACTCGAACCCGCATCCTTCGCTATGTGGGTTACCTACAATGCGAAGAGATGGCGCTGCCTTGCAGCTTAAGGCTAGAAAAATTTCGACGCGGCTAATAGGGCCGTGGTAGCATAATGGTCAGTGCATTCGCCCGGATAGCGAAGGATGCGGGTTCGAGTCCCGTCCGCTGCCTGTTCCGCGTGGTTTTTTTTTTCTAGTAAACTTTTCTTTAAAATGAGGATGTTTTAATAGCAAAAACATAGTTATAAATATGAATATATTTATATACTAGCGGTCCGCCCTCGCTTCGCTTCGGTGTAGAACTGAAGTGTAGACTACAGTTTTTGTTCTCAGGCTTGTATTATACACAATGACATTCGTCTACGATTCTTCTTATACCTGCATGCGGAGTCTCAGCCCGATCGGTTTAAAATTGACAAAGTTTCATACCCTATTTTATCCCCTTGGGGGTAGAATTGATCAAAATCCTTTCTTAGCGGATGCCTACGTCATAACATCTAACTGCATGCCAAATTTCAGCCCGATCCGTCCAGTGGTTTGGGCTGTGCGTTGATAGATCACTATGTCAGTCAGTCACCTTTGAGTTTTATATATATAGATGTATAAGCATGTAACTGCTGGATGTTTATATCTAAAGAAAAGGAAAATGCCCATAGGTAATATCGTCCTTGGTCGGCCTTGTACATTCATCAATTTGTGAAAAAACAAGTTTTTAATTTTCACAAAAGCGTGTTAAATAATTAGCTAAAACATTAAAATCTCCACACTGAGCAGGCGAAAAAAAATCTTTAGATTTAAACAATATGCTTAAAAAATGTAATTTTAATTGCTATTTTTTCTTTCAAATGTTTAATCTTTGTAAATGTATTCATTTGACATTGATCCACAATGCGAGGAGATGGCGTTGCCTTGCAGCCTAAGAAAGACTAGAGAAAATTCGACACGGCCATCAGGGCCGCGTTAGCAGAACGGTCAAAGCATTCGCCCGAATAGCGAAGGGTGCGGATTCGAGTCCCGTCTCGTTACCTGGTGCAAGTGAAATTTTTTCTAGCAAAAAAAAATCTATATATATAAAACTCAAAGGTGACTGACTGACATAGTGATCTATCAACGCACAGCCCAAACCACTGGACGGATCGGGCTGAAATTTGGCATGCAGGTAGATGTTATGACGTAGGCATCCCGCTTAGAAAGGATTTTGATTAATTCTACCCCCAAGGAGATAAAATAGGGAATGAAAGTTTGTATAAAACTTTGTCAATTTTAAACCAATCGGGCTGAGACTTTGCATGCAGGTATAAGAAGAATCATAGATGAATGTCATTGTATATAATAATACAAGCCTGAGAACAAAAACTGGGGGGGGAGGAAAGTATGGGCATTTTAAGCAGAAAAGAGGTAGATTTTGAGCAAATATATTGAAAAATAATATGAAACACGATATATTCTCTCACCGTCATCCGTCTTGGTCTTCTTCGGCGGGTCTGGTTCGGACGAGTCGCTGTCCGAGTCTGCGGCGCGTTTAAGGTCGCCGTTGCTAGAAGAAACTGCCGTCGAGCCACTAGCCCCACTCGCGGACGCGCTCGCAGATTCTTTACGCTGCGAACGAACGAAGATTTATTAGTGCAATAGGGTATTTGACAGTGTTAAAAATAAATGCCAATTGTAAGCATCTGTGTTTAGAATAAATGTTGGCAGGGGTTTTTACTATTTTTACAAAAAAAAATATTCATAATTATACTAAAAACTAACGGAAAAGATAATAGTTTTCTTATGTTTTGTCATGTGACCCAAAACGCTTGGGATTGGCGGAGCCCAAAATGACGTCACACGCAAGTAAACTTCCGGTTACAGTGATATTACATTGTATCGTTTGACGTTTTAATAACAGTCGTGTGACGTCACACACTAATAAGACGCCTTATTGTCCAGAGAAACGTTTTCGCGGCAACTTGAAAATGGAGTTTTTGATTTGGTTATTTTTACTGAAATACACGACAGAATAATGAATATCCACTTTTTACGGACTCCGTAAACATTAGTCAATAACGTGAGATCGTTTTCTAAAACTTGTCAAATAATCAAAATTTCTATACACTATTGTCTGGATTTTCTCCAGAGCCCAAGTATGAAGTTAACAGTTACAGATATTGGTTCGTACTAAGGGTATATATACCAACTAGCTGACCCAGCGAACTTCGTACCGCCCTAAAAAAATAGGGGTTGTCCAGCGGACAAAATTGTGAATCTAAACCATTCTCAGATCCCCTTGAACACACACAAAAAAATTCATCAAAATCGGTCCAGTCGTTTAAAAGAAGTTCAGTGACATACACACTCACAGAAGAATTATATATATCTTTATATAAGAATTATATATATCTATATATATAAATAAGAATTATATATATCTTTATATATATAATTCTTCTGTGAGTGTTTATGTCACTGAACTTCTCCTAAACGACTGGACCGATTTTGATGAATTTTTTTGTGTGTGTTCAAGGGGATCTGAGAATGGTTTAGATTCACAAAGACGTGTAGACAGGACAACGTCTGTCGGGTCCGCTAGTAAAGATATAGAATTTGAATAGTTTGCGAGTCTGACATGTCATTGTCAAATTTCGTATGGAAACTTGAACAGGAGCGCCACAACGGACGTTAATCAATTCATATTTGAGGTATAAAACAGATCGAACTCATCTATTCGAAATCGACAATGGTTCGTGCAAGTTTCTTTGAAAACTAAGTAGCGCCTCTATCGGACGTAAGAATAAACCAGCATTAAATTTGACGATGACGTTACGTTACGGAATAGGGTATTTGACAAGTTTTAGAAAACGATCTCACATTATTGACTAATGTTTATCGAGTCCGTAAAAAGTGGATATTCATCATTCTGTTGTGTGTTATAGATAAGAAAACTATTATCTTTTTCGCGGGTTTTTAGTAAAATTATGTTTTTTTTTTTTGTAAAAATAGTAAAAACCCCTGCCAATATTTATTCTAAACACAGATGCTAACAATTGACACTTTATTTTTAATACTTTCAAATACCCTGTTGACAAAAACTGGTGCTTGGGCTTCAGGTTTCATATTGTAGGAAAATGTTATGAGAAAGATAGGGCAAAGCGGATTTTGCGAAAGAGACATTGGAGAGAGAGAGAGAGAGGAGAAACTCGATTGGAGGAGAGGCGAGGTCAAAGGAACCTGTACCCTACGCACGAACCAATACCGAATTCGAATAGTTTGCGAGTCCTAAATATCATTGTCAAATGTGTACTAATTTATAGTTCTCGTTACGTACTTTGTGGTCGCTGCTATTCAAGTTTCCATACAAAATTTGACATTGACATTTCGCACTCGCAAACTATTCGAATTCGATAATGGTTCGTGCTAGGGGTACTGTTGACCTCACCTCACACACACACACCGCGGAACGTTGAACTAACTTGTGACACGTGACTTGTGACGTAGCACACTTTTTCGACTTCGCGTACGGTCGGAACAGAATCGGATTGCAGTCGTCGGGTACATTTACACTCACGTGCAGTTCTAGTAGGGCGGCTGACACAGCTTTATCTACGTCAGCGCAGTCTATTAATTGCGCGGGTCGTTCCCACGCTGAAGAATGGGTGGTCGTGTCTAGGATCGTACGGTCGAATCGGAGTCGGATCGCGATCGGATCGCAGTCGTTGGGTACATTTACACTCACGTGCAGGTCTAGTAGGGCGGCGGGCGGCTGACACACAGCTTTGTCGACGTCGGCGCGGCCTATTAATTGCGCGGGTCGTTCCCACACTGAAGAATGTGCAGTCGGGTTGTAGAAGAACACGCGGCCGTCACCAGTCCATACCACGCACCTATAGGAAGAAAGAAAGAAAAGAACATAAAATAATATAAACTAAAAAAATGGGTGTGGTTTTATAAAACCAAGACAGAAGTGAAACGGGAAATCATATCCAGGTTACATGTAAGGGAGCTAACCCAAAAAAAAAACAAAATTTTTATCCTATTATTTTGTCAGCATGATTGATATAAATATCTCCCAGGGCTTGTTTACCGGTTAATTTTCAAACCTAAATCAGTGTCAAGTACATTAGGAGCGTTTTATTTAGGTTTGGCTCTAATTTAACCTTAAAAAACCGGTTTTCCTAAAAAGCGAAATCAAATAGGTTTTAAATCAATTTAGCGGTTTTTAAAGGGTTTCATTTCGCTCTTACTGACGGCTTAAATAAATACACAACTACAAAATGAATAACTTGACTCACGAGACGCTAGCAAACGTTTCAATAAATGCACCAATCTCTCTGCATTAACAAGTTGTGACTTGATTAGTTCAAACAAAACAAACTTCAAGCGATGCCGACGCGTGCACTTGTCGCTCTGGATTAAACCGGTTTATTAAGATTTAGGTACCGCTTTCATTTCGGACGCGCTCCGAACGAAACCTTTACTAAAAACCGGTATAAACCTTTATTTACCGGTATTTTTTAAACCGGTTTCATACCCTGATATCTCCACAAAATCCCAGCTACAGTCTCTAACTATAAGAAACTTTAATAATAATAATTCATTTATTTCAATCATAAAGATCATAGCATGCCAATGACAAAATAATAATAAATAGTAATAATTATGATACATAAAAATAAATTAAATTACATCTCCACATACAATTACATTTAAAACAAAAATTCAATTCAATTCAATCGGTTTCACACCTAAGTATTAACAGTTTCAGAATTTCAAAAATAAAATGTCAAAATTTAAAACGGTAAAATAAACATTAAATGTCAAAATTTAAAATAGTAAAATATAAATTAAATGTCAAAATTTAAAACGGTTAAAATAAAAATTAAATGTCAAAATTTAAAATAGTAAAATAAATATTAAATGTCAAAATTTAAAATGGTAAAATAAAATTTAAGGAACCCAAAAATAACTCACCAAGGCGTCCCAGATATAGGCGTGCTGGATATCGGTCTGCTCCTATCCTGCTTCGCCTTCTCCTTGTCCGCCTTCTCCTTCTCGGCTCGCTCCTTCTCCGCGCGCTCCTTCTCGGCCCGCTCGCGCTCGAGCCGCTCGCGTTCGCGGCGCGCGTCCTGTTCGCGTTCGCGCTCGCGCTCGCGTTCGGCCTCGCGCTCGCGCTCCGCTTCGGCCGCGGCGGCAGCTTCCGCGTGCGCTTCTACGTCGATCACTGGTAACGAAACGCGAGTATAAAACAGCGTTGCCAGACGTCTAAATTTTGGCGGGACAACCCGATTTTTAAATCAAAATTTAATATATTTGTTTCTTAGGTTTCGACAAATATCACTCATTAAATAAAACTAGTTATACCGGGTTTTATTAAGCATATACATGCTTTAAAAAAAAATATAACTATAATTGCTATTTCTTCTTTCAAATGATTAATACTTGTAATAGTAATACTAGCGCCTTTTGACGCAAAAATCCCGCTTTTTTTCACTCAAAAAGTTCCTTAATCCCGACTTGGCAAAAAAAATCTGACAACGCTGGTATAAAATAATATATACAACGTATAACAGATATTACACACACCCTGTCCCCGTAGCATGAGCACCACAATAGGGGTGATGACGGGGTACAGTAAACGAAATTCTGTTTAGTCCGTCAGTTAGATGATCAAAAAATAATGGCCACGTATTTTTTCTTTGGGCAATCAACCAAAAAATGACAAAGTTATAGCGCGTCAAAGTTTGGGAGTGTTGAGTGGGAGGGCTCGTGACGTCACTTAAGTGAAAATTGTACCAAAACGTGACGTCTTGCGACTTTTCAAATCAATATATCTCTGCAATGTTTATATTATGTGAAAAAAGAAAAAATACGTGTCCAACACTTTTTAATAATCTACCTGATAGACGAAGAATAAAAAAAAATGTCATCACCCCTATTTACATTATATTATTATCACGTTTATTATCGCGTCTAACTGTCAAACTACATAGTAATTTGACAATTGAGCGTGATAAAAACGCGTTATATATCATATCGCGGTGCTCATGCCAGGCGGGGCTGAAAGTAGTTTGGTTACAATTAGCTGCCGAATGGATCTCGATAAGAAGTATCTTAAAAAAAAAACACATTAATTTTATCATTACTCATTCATTTTCTCTTGTGTGTAGTTTCAAAGGCGCCACTAATAGTTCATAAATTTGATTATTCAAATCTTAAAAAAAAATACTAGAAAAAATTCCACGCGGACCAGGCAGCAGACTGGACTCAAACCCGCTATTCGGGCAAATGCACTGACCATTATACTACCTAAATACCATACTACCATAAATAACAAATATAACTATAATTGCTCTTTCTGCTTTCAAATGTTTAATACTTGTAAAGGTATTCATCTGACATTGGGGAGCGTCCATAAATTACGTGAGGTGTTTTATAAAATTTTCTGTCCCTCCCCCCCTGGTAAGATGTCGTGAGATTTTATTCAACACCCCCCCCCCCCCCCCCCCAACCCCCAATCTCACGTGAGATTTTTCAAAATTTGAGTTTCTTACGTGAACGAGTTGGATTGTTAATGTAAAAAGAAAAAAAAATTACGACTAGTTAAGACTAGTAATCAATATTGCTGAGAGTTTAAATCTTAAGCATATACAATCTGGATTAAATGGACCAAAATAGTATATATTTTTTTTGTTTCAATCAGAAAAAAATGCGTCATATTTGCCGGGACCCCCCCTCTCTCCAACGTAAGATTAGATGAGATTGGACTCGACCCCCTCCCCCCTTAAACATCTCAAGTAATTAATGGACGCCCCCTTGTGGTTCACCTTTAAGAGCCCTTTTACAAAATTGCGCCGCTGCCGTACTGATCGGCGCGTAGGTAGATTTGCACTAGTATATACGCACTACCACTAGTATATTGCATTTTACGGGTGATGTTTCGAGTCTTATAAAATAACTATTAATGAACTAATTATAAAAATATATACTTAATTCAGTAGTTCAATGATGGTAGATTAGTTTTATGAAAGTTTTGGATGGTAATTCTATTTAATTCAATATCAAAATACGAGGTAAACCTGCATTATTTTTTGGGAAAGCTCACGGAGGTTAGATGTTTTTTTTTGATAATTAATGAGCTGGAAAATCAATATTCTAATACATTATGTTACAACAAAAATATATTTCTGACATCGTAGTAATTAATTTGATCTAATTTATTGAACATTATTGAGAGATTCAGGCGTTTGAAGTTGTGCATTTTATCGTTTTTTTCCGTAAACTAGCTGCGATAGAAAGGTTAAGAAAGGCTAGAGAAAATTCGACACTTTTTACTAACCTTCAATTTTGCTGTCATCAATCTCGATTTTGTCCTTCTTCTTCTCGACTTTCTCTCCTTTCTCGGCTGCTATTTTCGCTTGCAGCTCTGAAAAGAGTCACCGATTTCATTACGAGGGGATCTCTTAAACATCTTGTGATACCTTCAAAGCTTAACCACGTGTGAATATAATGCTAATGACGACCTCCGTGGCCGAGTGGTTTGTACAAATTGGGTTCGAATCCCGGTGGGGGCAGATATTTGTGTGATGAATACGTGCATTTGTACTCCAGTCATGGACGTTTAATATGTATATTTTTATAAAAATATACTATCTATATGTACTGTATCTTATCCGTTACCCTAGCATCCCATAACACAAGCCTTACAGTGCTTACTTTGGGGCTAGGCTAATTGGTGTGAATGTTGGAAATATTTATTTATTATTTAATATTATAAATGTGGAAGTTTATATGTCTATTACTCAATCACGCAAAAACGACTGGACCAGTTGAAATGAAATCTGGTGTGCATATAGTTCATGGCCTGGATTGAGGCATAGGATACTTTAATTAAAAAAAAAATTGTTGGTTTCTTTGGTATTATCAGAAAACTAAAGTTAATGCAACACGGGCAAGTCACAAGCGAAAGCCAATATTAAATAATGGCATCGCAAAAAGGACTTTGACACTCTGTTACGTGTGAAAAAATAAATTTCATTAGCTGTTCAGAATAGTGGTCTAAACAACTGAGCAGCTTTTATTTCATCATTAGCTTATTAATTTCCCCACTGCTGGGACACAGGCCTTCTCTATGGATGGAATAGAGTTTGGGCCGTGACCCACCACGCGGGTCCAGTGCGGATTAGCGGGTGCTAACGACTGCAGATGCAGCCGGGACCAACGGCTTAACGTGCCTTCCGAAGCACGAAGGAACTCGAGATAGTACATTTTTTAGTCACCCATCCAATGACCGACCACTGCGAAAGTTGTTTAACTTCAACGATCGCAGCCGAACGCGTTAACCACTTGCGCCATTGAGCTCCTCAGCTCTTATTTATGTATTAGAATTATGTGACATCATAACCTGTAATATCAAACTCAAAAATCATTTATTCAGTCTTGGCTATTACAAGCGCTTTTGAAAGTAGAATAGAATAGAATAATCTTTATTTGCATTAAATAGGGTTGACAAAAGGTGTTTGCATATAAAGCATATGTTAAAAGCTAAGAATCTTATACCTATTTAACCACATTAATAGCATGCAAAAAATTCTAACATATTAAAACTTAACAGTCATATTAAATTTACCTATTATTCATTTAATAACAAGTATTCTATCATTATAATTTAAATACAAATTTATGTCAATTTAATGTGATATACCTATAATAATTTTTTTTTTCAAAATGATAATTTAACAGTATTATTCAATTCAATGTCAATATTAATTACGATTCCTGATGTCAATTCAAAAGTAATATTCATGTCAATATATTATATGCATTCAAAATAAAATTAATCCAAAAGAGAGAAGCTACGCAAAACTACGGCGGGAGACCTTGTACAGATGAGCCTGTTCGTCCGTCTGTCTGTCTGTACACTCACCCTCCAGCTCCTTGAGAGGTTTGGGCTTCTCCCATACACTTTCCTGCTTGCCTGCGTTGTAGTAGTAAGGTCTTCCGTCTGGGGCTCGGTGAGTGGTCCATTCTTCGGCCCGGGCCATCAGATCTGCTGGTATCACCTGTGCGAAAAGGAAACATTATTAAATGTACTATTCATCTATGGGAAGGCACTGGTACCTGCCATACAGATTAAACTAGTACAGACTAGCAAACCAGTGAACCAAATGTTCACCAAAACCTGATTTAAAAAAAATGTATTATATAATTGAGAACTTCGGCGATTTTGTGTGGTTTCGTTTGAAATTCGTGATTTCTCGAAAACCGGAAGTGCTACGTTACTCAAATCCGGTTTGTAGTCTTATCAGACTATTCTTAAATTATAACTTAAATATTCTCTTTATCTATCTCTTACGGTTTGGCCGCTGAAACAGCACCACAGACAGACGGACTTGTCTAATTGATAAGAGATACCAACACGCTCCTATTATAAAAATGTAATTGTTATTTAATGTAAGTAAAAAATAAAATTTTAAATATATATATATATATATATATATAATATACAACAACATGTAATGAAATGAATAAATTATTATTATCAAAACGCAAATTTATCTCAATATCCTAATCGACTAATGAAATCCTTAATAAATAAATTTACACCAATTAGCCTAGCTAGCCCCAAAGTTATAAGCACTGTATAAAATAAAGGACATGGTAAAGTTTTGTACGAGCGACTGCCCTGGCAATGTATAAATACTGTACTTAGTAATATTTAATGGTAAATGGCTGAATATTTATAATTTCTTTGAAAAAAGGCTCAGGAACTTTTGATAAAGTCACAATCTTGAAAAATATGAAAACTACTATGTCATCACCTTACTACAGTTGATAAAAGATGTTGCCAATTATTTACAGAGTCATCAATTTCGAATTTCATTAGAGTCTTTATTCCCATTTCTCTGATTAACTCTTCACAGAAAATTTTTTAAAGCAAAAATAAATACAAATAATTTGTTATCGTCGGCCTGACAGGAAAACTGTGAAGTTTTATTTTGCCCATTTGCAAAAATGCAATGATTAACTATCATACAGCCCTGTCTCAAGCCTGATCAGAATAATAAAATCTATTATTTTAGGCCTTCAGTGATTTGTTATAATAAAAATTAGGGCCAAATATGTCATAGTTTCAAGGAGTTTAGAAATAATATTGTTATTTTCGATATACTTACACAAATATTTTCTGTGTTCATTTATTTTGTAAAATGGAACATTTTGCTATTTAAACAGACATGAAGTCAATTTTTATACTTTTAAATATTTGATTATTTTACGAAAGTTGTATGAGAATAATAAATACGTAATAGTTAATAAAAAAATATAAGTTACGGGCTAGTGCGAAATATTTATACACGACTGTTTAAAAATAAACTATTATTTAAATGAGCTACAAAGAATACAATACAAATTTTCCCTTAAAATTTTACTCTGAACTTATAACGTTATTACACAATTTACATAGTAAAAAAACATATATATATATAGTAAAAATGCTTGTCGCCAGATTTAAATAGAAGGTAGATATAATATTAAAATTTAAATCAATCTGATCAAATTTTCTTTACATACACAAGTAAATAAAATATCTTGACCTAATGCTCACCATGCATTGCCATCCAAACTAACCGTGTGTACAAAATTTCGGCTCAATCTAATGAAGACATCTGCTTCAAAATTGAGTTGAAAGATTCCACCCGAACAAACATACATGAATTGAATTTTCAAATAATTTATTAGACTTTTATATGCTCTTCCAAGGGCTAAACATATGGAACTCTTTTTATATATACAGTGTAAACTCTATATAACGACACTAAAGGGACTGTACATTTTATGGCGTTATAGAGAATTGTCGTTAAATGGAAAGAAGAAAAATCTGATTTATAAAAATAAAAAGTACATTACAAGCTAGTAGTTATGTACATAAAAAATATCTTATTTGAACGCTATTGCGTATATTCTATTATTTTTGTCTGACGTCTTTTGCTGCACCAGAAATTTTGTTGTATTATATTTTTTTTAGTCATAGTGAACAACCGTTTACACGAGCAATCCCAATTTGTAAACAAAAGAACGAATTTCTTTGGGTTTGGTTTGCATGATGCCGGCAGTCGAGTTTATTACGGGATAGGATAATAAAGCGACAAAAGAATTTTCACTAAGGACACCCGGCATTTTGTGCCAAAGTTGTATATTTTTTTTATTTTTTTATGTGTTTCATAATTGAGTAACGTAGTCTGTCAATATTTGTCATTAGCAGCTAGCTGTCAATGTCATATACGTAGGTTTGTCAATATAACCTCTATATGTAGCCGGGTCGTCAAGAGAAATAACGGATAAAAAGGCAATCACAGCAGAGAACATTCACAATCACAGAACGCGGGAGCGGATGCGAAATGCGAATGATTTTTTTGTTTGTATTTTAGGATTGTCAAATTGACATTCGGTTTTTTTATTTAGAAAAAGCAAAGGAATCATAGTTTTTACAGTCACTTGAGTAATATTTTGAAGTAAAATTCTATCCCTTGAAGATTTAGGGTTTCCATATCAAAAAATATTAATCATTATATAACTTCTTTCCACGATTCACTAAAAATAAGGCAAAAGTAGTGTTATGTAGCAAATAATTTTGGCTTTATTTTGAGACCAAATTCAACTGTATACAAGCTTAGCATTTTTTCTATGAAAAGTGCTGGGTCTCCTTTTGGCAACTTAAAGGTACTTTTTATTACTTAATTTTTGGGGTTATTGAGAGTGGGTGTAATGCTATATGGAGTGTATGTATGTATTGTATGGAAAACAAACTAAACCAACCAAAGACGAGTGATTTCGACGCTTCAGGGAGATTGTCGTTAAATCGAGTGACGTTACATAGAGTTTACACTGTATTTACCAGCTGTAACAAACTATGTTTCATGCAAATATATTTTCATTTCATTACCGTCAAAACTATAGGCCTACGGTGCCTGAATTTAAATGAATAAAAGTACTGACCGTCTGTGCCGGTTTCGGAGACGGCGCCGGTTCTGCCGCTTCCCCGGGCGGCATCTGTGCCGGCGGCGCTGCGAAAAACAAACATAATTCATTGCTCAAAATTCTTAAATATTAACGAAAAAAAAAATTTTTAAGCAAAAAATAAAACCTACTTTAAAATCGAAAATGGAATTAAAGAGTAAAAAATAATATCTAGTCCATGTTTTGAAAGTCGGTTTTATTTTTTGTTTAAAAAATTTTAATGTCATCCATTCTAGTGAAAATTAAATGGTCCAAGTAAACAATTAACACAAAAGGGTACTTGACAGTATTAAAAATAAAGTTCCAATTGTTAGCTGTGTGTGTTTAGAATGAATATTGGCAGGGATTTTTACTATTTTTACAAAAAAAAATGTAATTTTACTAAAAACCCACGAAAAAGATAATAGTTTTCTTATCTATTATCACGTGACCCAAAACGCTTGGGATTGGCGGAGCCTAAAATGACGTCACACGCAAGTAAACTTCCGGTTAAAGTGACATTACATTGTATCGTTTGACGTTTTTATAACAGTCGTGTGACGTCACACGCTAGTAAGACGCCATATTGTCCAGAGAAACGGTTTCGAGACAACTTGAAAATGGAGTTTTTGAGTTGGTTATTTTTACTGAAATACACAACAGAATGATGAATATCTACTTTTTACGGACTCCATAAACATTAGTCAATAACGTGAGATCGTTTTCTAAAACTTGTCAAATACCCTATTGCCGCTATTTAGACTCCAAAAGATTCTTGGTTTCATTCGTGGGTCAAGGTTCATACTACAATGAAATACCAAAAAAAAATTGTGTTACCGAATTATAAGTATAAATATATATCAAAAGTTGCCTCTTTAAGAAGGGGATGGATATGGCGTCTTACTGGTGTGGGACGTCACACGACTGTTATTATACTTATATAATTATATATATTTAAGTTCGAACGATAGAATTTAAAGTCACTTTAACCGGAAGTTTACTTGCGTATAGAGATGGGATTTTACCCGGAAAAAACCCCAATGTGGGAAAATATGTGGGAGGTAGTAGCAGTGGCGTACGCGTTGGTGATCTATCTATCTTACACGTTATTTTGGCTTCGTACTGTGCGCACTTGTGTTAATATGTTAGTTTAATTGAGGACTGGGATTTTGTTTTGTAGACTTCTGAAGACGTCTTTTTGTTGATAAATTAAACTGCTGGTTTTATTTTAGTTCCTGAATCAGGCTAAACATTTTGACGTTTCGAACAAAGGCAACAGCTAGTGTCCTATAAACGCTGTCGCAAAGTATGTGCGCATCGCAAAGTACCAGTGGCGCGGGGTGAAAAAAAAGAAAGGTAAAGCCGGACCAAAAAAAAACGACTAACGCGTCAATAAGCAAAATGTCATATCTTATAAAAATACATGCAATAAATTTTACCTTATTACTTACCTTATGTGTTAGTACACCTTTCCCAAAACGACAACGAAATGTTAGATATGGTGCTTGCGTTGCGTTGTATGCAGTTTTTCATGCGACAGAACATGCTTGCTGTATAGTTGTTAGTGTTCACCACCTTCACCATACATAACATCACTGGTATTATATGAACAATCCATGTCGATTATGATAAAAGTGGCGTTCAAAAAACCGTATAAAGCACACGTCACTCATACACAGATTATAATAGTACATTACGATACGCGTGACCTAAGTTGACCTCGCTCCGCTCGGTCGCTAACTTCACGCCGTGCAGTAATAGACAACTTAGGCCACAAGTATCGTATACTATTTTATAGCAAGTGTGACATAAACCCGCCCCGGACGCGGGCAAGAGGGGGGAGGGGGGTGCGATTAGTGTTTTGAAAGTAAAATTCATGTATTGAAATCACAAAGAATTGCAATACAGACTGCAAGTCAAACTCTGAAAAGAAAGAATTCCGGTTCAGATTACCATTTTGAAAGTATATTTCAAAAGAAAAAAATCAAATATCATTACAACAAAATAAAATTTCAATGTGTCCATGAACGTTTATTCCTTGATTGGCATAGTAAAGTTAAGTTACGCGTATCGTAATGTACTAATTCTACATGAGTGAAGTTGGTCAATTCATTTACACACCGTGCAGAAATAGGCAACTTAGGTCACGGAAAAGCGTGCGTAAAGTGCGGGTTTAGGTCACACTGTGCTATAAATAAATATATAGAAAAACAAAGAACCAAAATAAGGGCCAGCATCATCATCACAAATAAAAACCAGCAGAAATACCGCTTATTTATTTCTATTCTACGCACATACATAGTATCACGTCAGTAAGGGATTTACGGGGTAGAAAGAGCCGAAGGCCATGGTCACGTTTTATTTTCGAACGAATGTTTTGAGAATGAAGTTTACTCATTTAATAGGAAATCTGTAAGACAACAATCTATTTGTACTAATTCCACCACTCCTACGTGACGGTAAGAAACAAAAAAAAGCAAACAAACCTTTACGGTGAAATAAAACAAACACTATACGCAACACTTGGCAAGTAAAATTTCACTACTTTCGATTCTGTTAAACTACATATATACCACAATCAAGCTAATCACTTATCACAATAGATAAATTAGCATAGAACGGATTCGAATGCTAATTTATCCATGCGAATGCGCGCGAAATAATGGCCTCACTACGTCAGGTCAACAGAGCCGAGCGCCAGGTGTCTGCGATTGGCCGAAAACTTCAAGCTAAACGGAGCCTTAACACATGACAAATAAAGATTGCAGGCTATCTAAGATCGGGTTATATCGCTGTTATATCGACGATTGGTTGCATGTGGTAGTAATGTGTATTTGTGCGTGAAGTGCTTACATTTTATTTATTTGAAGTCCCAATATGATAAGCGGCTTATCCAGCCTACTACGGCGCGGATCTGTGTGCGTATGCGCGATATCAAATGCATTGCGTATTTTGTATCCAGCATATTAAAGAATATTTTTACAAAGCGCGCAATTTAATTATGTCGCTTGCATTAACGTATACGTCAATGTCCGCTTGTGCTTGAATGTAAATATATTAGCTTCGCCACTGCAAAGTACCTATTTTTAGCTACATTTGTTCTAAAAATAAAAAAAAAATTAAGATCGTGATAATTATGTTTAATAATGAAAATACCCGTCTATTGGGTTTTTCCCACATAAATACCCGGTTTTTTCCCATTGGGTTTTTTCCCACTGCCCATCTCTACTTGCGTATGACCTCATTTTAAGCTCCGCCAATCCCAAGCGTTTTGGGTCACGTGACAATAGATAAGAAAACTATTATCTTTTAAATGGGTTTTAGTAAAATTATGAATATTTTTTTTGTAAAAATATTAAAAACCCCTGCCAATATTCATTCTAAACACAGATGCTAACAATTGTCACTTTATTTTTAATACTGTCAAATACTCTATTTAAGTTCATGTTTATTGCTAGTTTCAGAAACAAACATGTTAGACTTACCTCTGAATGTGTCAGCTAACTGTGGGGCGTTCTGTGCCGGGTTGGGGAGGGCCGGGGCTTGATTGGGGGGCGGCTGTAGCCCCGGCGGCGGGTGCCCCAGGGGCGGGGTCCAGCCCCAGCCGGGGGGCCAGCCGGGGCCGGGCCCGAACCCACCAGGGCCCGGGCCCGGACCCGGCCCGAACCCGGGCGGACCCGACGGGGGGCCCGCGGGACCGGGCGGGCCTACAGGCATCCCTGGTGGGGGGAAGCCTGTCATCATGTTACCTGGACGAAGGAACAACTTAGGTTACTAACTTAAACTTAGTACGACGACCTCTGTGGCCGAGTGGTTTGTACGCCGGGTTTCATGGCTGTCGCCGCCTCGAGAGGTCCCGGGTTCGAATCCCGGTGGGGGCAGATGTTTGTGTGGTGAATACGAGCATTTGTACTCCAGTCATGGATGTTTAATATGTATTCATATATAAATATACTCATATATGTACAGTATATGTATTCTATCCGTTACCCTAGTATCCCATAACACAATCCTTATAGTGCTTACTTTGGGGCTAGGCTAATTGGTGTGAGTGTCGGAAATATTTATTTATTTATTTACAGTTTTAGTGGAGCTCGGTGGCGCAAGTGGTTAGCGCGTTCGGCTGCGATCATTAAACTTAAGCAACTTTCGCAGTGGTCGCTCATTGGATGGGTGACCAAAAATTATCGAGCTCTTCCGTGCTTCGGAAGGCACGTTAAGCCGTTGGTCCCGGCTGCATCTGCAGTCGTTAGCATCCGCCAATCCGCACTGGGCCCGCGTGGTGGGTCATGGCCCAATCTCCATATTCCATCCATAGGGAAGGCCTGTGCCCCAGCAGTGGGGACATTAATAGGCTGATAATGATGATGAGTGGGGGCGCCCAAGTGAGGATTTTTGGTTTCACTCGAGTGCAGCAGAATCTACACATAATATAATAAACTAGCGGACCAGTGAACCAAATGTTCACCAAAACCTGATTTCTCGAAAACCGGAAGTGCTACGTTACTCAAATCCGGTTTGTAGTCTTATCAGACTATTCTTAACTTATAACTTAAACATTCTCTTTATCTATCTCTTACGGTTTAGCCACTGAAACAGCACCACAGACGGACGGACTTGTCTAATAGATAAGAGATGGTAGGAAAGTCAAAACTGTTACATTGAATATTTTTGATGTGTAACATCTTTCCTCTCGCTCTCCTCCTTAGGTTTGAATACTTAGATTTAAGATCTCGCCGAAAAAAATATACGTATAGCTCACTTTGAATTAATATTAAAAGGTTTTTCAAAGTAGGGATTTGTTTGATTTTTTTATTAGCTTCAATTTTGGTGATAATAGCTTTTATGTAAAAACTCATAGCTTTTGAGTTATTTATGAAAAACCGCTTTAACATGTATTTTTATCAAGAAAAATCGCAATTTTTGATCTTTAATAACTCAGAAAGTATTGATTTATTGGAAAACCCTTATATAACGAATTTTGTTTAGAATTTGTCTTTCTATCGATTCCTGGAGTTATTTTTATTGAAATAATTTTCACACCCGGGAAGGGGTGGCATCTACCCCTAGGGCGAAAGCGCAAGTTGACACTATGTCACTTTTATTTCTTAAAGTATCCCCCATCTATTCACCAGTTTTCATGAATATCGATGGAGGTTCAACGAAATCGGAGGTTGTAGCTGATCTTTGTCTTCATTGACTGGACTATCTTTCAAGTTGGATCAAATTCAATTCAATATATTTATTGTTTCATGTGGTAATTACAAGTTCTTAGATTTAGAATCAGATCCAAACATGAACCCTGTAAGGGCACTACAATGTCAATATACATAAAATAAACAAAATACACATAATTATAATCAATCACATTAAAATTTTAGATTACAAGTACCAGCTACCTTTCAACAAAAAACTCTTGCATACTATAGAAGGTTTTATTCAATAAATATTGTTTCAAAATTTGTGCAAACTTTTTAACGTTTTGTTCTACGGTTATATATTTAGGTAATTTGTTATAGATTTTAATTGCGTTTATTTGTGGACCTGAACTATGGATTTTAAGACTTGATGAGGGTAAGGCTAAATTATCTTTGTATCTCAAATTTATATATGTACTAGAACGGTCCTGTTTTTGGGGTAATAATGGAAGATTTTGTTTTACAAACTTACAAATTTCAAAAATATAGAGTGAAGTGAGAGTTAGGTTTTTTAGTTCAGCAAATCAAACTGCACACGGTGTGCAAATTTGATTAAAATCAAACAACCTGACGCGTTATTAATATATATATATCTATATATATAAAAATGAAACCCGTTTTCCGTTGTCACGACATAACATGAAAACGGCTTGACCGATTTGGCTGATTTTTTTTTTGTAGTTTTCTAATACTCTGTACAAGGTTCTTATGGAAAAAAATATAAAGAAAAATAAAAAAATTGAATAGGTACTCATACATAAGATAGGTCAGCTATACAAAATAAAGTAGTGCATCAAAGCTTCGCTAAGGCGGTACGAAGTTCGCCGGGTCAGCTAGTATATATATATATATTAAAATGTGAATAAGGCGTCCTATTCATCAATGTTGAACACATGTTGTTATTTATTACAAAAAATCTGAAATCTGTGTATCAAGTCAGCATTCTTAGAATACATGTCATCACAAGAACAACACCTCCATAGCCGAGTGGTTTGTACGCCATGGTGTTGCCAACTTGAGAGGTCTCGAGGGTTCGAATTCTGGTGGGGGCAGACGTTTGTGTGATGAATACGTATTTCCATATTAATATACTTATATATGTACAGTATATATATTCTATCCGTTACCCTACTATCCCATATCACAAGCCTGCAGTGCTGGAAATATTTATTTATTATATAGGCAACAAAGCTCGTACGAACCTATTTCTTGCTGAAGTTGGATTATTCAAACCGGCTATAAGACATAGAATGTTTCTCACCATTTGGAGGCTGCGTGGGTGCCCCTTCGCCCGGAGGCATATCGTCTGCCTCCTGACCCATTTCTTCGGGTTTATCCTGCTTCTGAGGGGGCACTGTGTAACAAACATAATTTAATTAATTTATTATATATCACCAGTGAATCATACATGGAACTCTTAACGTTTAACACAATTTTACAAAACAAGTAAAAAAAAATCACATTCTATTTAAGATGACCACAATATGCAATATATATAAGGGGCATTACACGCGAAGCGGACAGGTTAAAAAACTCGATGTTTCCGATTTCAGTAATATTTGAGTATGTTCTACTTATACTTATTATTGTTACGTGTACCAAATATTTTTGTGATATATTGACTAGTTAAAGAGTAATGGGACTTTGAAGTTTTCGACAGCCGGTTGGCATGCAGTACTTCAAAGCCGATTATGGACTCATAAAATTATATATTAAAATAACTAAACCACTGGATTTCCTACTTTATTTACTGGGATTTTTAACTGTGTTTTTGGAATAGAAAAAAAATTTTTTTTTTCGTAAAAAAAAACCAATTTAAGTTTTTTTCCTTGATTTTCACCAAGTTAGACCATTTAGTTTTTTTAATTTTTTTTTTTATATAAATTGCTAATATTGTATAGAACATTGGTGCCAACTTTTATAATGGGCGTGAAAGTGGATTAGGAGCTAGATTGAAAATACTGCCGAAGGGTGGCGTCCAGCGCCGCGCCTGTTGACCGCCGCTTGTGCGCGATTAGTCATCAAACTGTCAATCAAATAAAATCACTTTTGACGGAATGTTTTGTAGATTTTTAATAAAACCAATACATAGAAAAAAATCCACGCGGACCAGGCAGCAGACGGGACTCGAACCCGCACCCTTCGCAATCCAGGCGAATGCACTGACCAATTATGCTACCGCGGCCCTCGTGAACCGCGTCGAAATTCTTCTAGCCATTCTTAAGCTGCAAGGCAGCGCCATCTCTTCGCATTATAGGTAATCCACAATGTCAAATGAATACTTTTACAAGTATTAAACATTTGAAAGAAGAAATAGCAATTATAGTTATAATTTTTATTTCTTTAAAGCATGTAACTGCTTGATGTTTAAATCTAAAGAAAATATAACTACATAGAAAAAATTCCACGCGGACCAGGCAGCAGACGGGACTCGAACTCGCATCCTTCGCAATCCGGGCGAATGCACTGACCAATTATGCTACCGCGGCCCTCACGGACCGCGTCGAAATTCCTCTAGCCAGGTGGCAATGGCATAATTGGTCAGTGCATTCGCCCGGATTGCGAAGGGTGCGGGTTCGAGTCCCGTCTGCTACCTGGTCCGCGTGGAATTTTTTCTGTGTATTGGTTTTATTAAAAATCTACAAAACATTCCGTCAAAAGTGATTTTATTTGATTGAAAGTTTGATGACTAATCGCGCACAAGCGGCGGTCAACAGGCGCGGCGCTGGACGCCACCCTTCGGCAGTATTTTCAATCTAGCTCCTAATCCACTGTCACGCCCATTATAAAAGTTGGCACCAATGTTCTATACAATATTAGCAATTTATATAAAAAAAAATAAAAAAAAACTAAATGGTCTAACTTGGTGAAAATCAAGGAAAAAAACTTAAATTGTTTTTTTTTTACGAAAAAAAAAAATCTTTTTCTATTCCGAAAACACAGTTATAAAGCCCAGTAAATAAAGTAGGAAATCCAGTGGTTTAGTTATTTTAATATATAATTTTATGAGTCCATAATCGGCTTTGAAGTACTGCATGCCAACCGGTTGTCGAAAACTTCAAAGTCCCATTACTCTTTAACTAGTCAACATATCACAAAAATATTTGGTACACGTATCAATAATAAGTATAAGTAGAACATACTCAAATATTACTGAAATCGGAAACATCGAGTTTTTTTATCTGTCCGCTTCACGTGGAATGCCCCATAAGCAGAGATGTTTTTTTTTAAATTACATAATTTTTTTTTAATTGAATAAAACATAGTTAAAATTAAAATGATTGAGTGAGGTACATCAACGATGAAAATATTTATTTATTTATAAATAAAATAGCTATGGTGTATGGTAGATACGTTCGACGCTACACACGTTCACATTGACTGCTTTAGTAAACTGACATCAGTCACGCACAACATTGCTAAAATCTTGATTCAACTAAAACTAGTTTGAATCCATGTAAAAATGTGAAATCGTCAATTTTAATTTGATATTATTGTATGAGCTATATCTAGTTATAATCTAAAGAAAAGTTTACTAGAAAAAAATCCACGCGGACCAGGCAGCGGACGGGACTCGAACCCGCACCCTTCGCAATCCGGGCGAATGCACTGACCAATTATGCTACCACGGCCCTATTCGCCGCGCCGCGAAAAAGTTTACGTTTCGGATCAAAACAGTCTTCGTCGAACAACTAGTCCTCGAATTGTCTGCACGTCAATATGTTCTTTATGATGAAGTAAATAATCTATAATAGAACACAATGATATGAGGCCGTTTCGTTCTATGATAATTAAGCTTTGATTGTACAATAATATAATCTTTATTATTGAACACTTAAAGTTGATTATCGTATAACACTACATTTATTTCGATGTTCCGTCGTCTCGTTCGCAGCACGATGGTGCCAGATTTAAACATAACTATATCTAGTTATGCTTAAATCGTGAATCTAGACGTTAAAATAATCAAAGACTTGTTGTCAGCACTCACTGTTCATATTGGGCGGTTCCTTGAGCCAGGGCGGGGGCTGCGACATGAAGGGCGGGTGGTTGGGCGGCATCCCGTTGGGCATCCCGCCCATGGGAGCCCCCATCGGGCCGCCCATCGGAGCGCCCATCGGAGCGCCCATGGGCATAGCGCCGCCTACCATGCCGGGCAGCTGGCCTATACGACCACCGACAACATCAATTATAGATAAACAAAAACCGGCCAAGGGCGAGTCGGATTCGCGCATTGAAAATAAAATTCATTCATTCATCATTCGGTTCCGTACAAACTCAATTAAATACCTCTATACGTTCATGAGAAAAGAGATAGATAGATAGATAGATTAACACTTTATTATAACACCAAATACATAATTACGTAACATTCACAAACAATAATATTAACAAAAGCAAAAGAGGTAGTAACTTTAAAATTTACAAAAATATGTTTTTACATAATATAAACACTGCAGAGATATATTTATTTGAAAAGTCGCATGGCGTCACGTTTCGGTACAATTGTCACTTAAAAGCGACGTCACGAGCCCCTACTCCCAAACTTTGACGCGCTATAACTTTGTAATTTTTTGGTTGATTGCCCAAAGAAAAAATTCGTGTCCATTATTTTTTGATCATCTAACTGACGGACTGAATAGAATTTCTTTACCGTACCCCGTCATCACCCCTATTGGTGTGAGCGTTGGAAATATTTATTTATTTAATGCTATTGAAATAAATAGTAAAAATGTCCATACCAGTGGCAGCCATCCCCTCCATCTCGGCCTGGGTGATCACTTTGACAGTGGGGCTCTCCTGGGGCCTGGTCCACGTGGTCTCGCGGGTGCGCGCGTGGTAGTAGTAAGACTTCCCATCCTCAGACTTTGTCTCCACCCACAGCTCTGGTGCGGGCTACAGAAACATTCATACTCTTAGAAAATGTTAATATAGACGGGACTTGAACCCGAACTCTCCGCGATCCGGGCAGATGCACTGACCATTATAGAGTGGTTTGTACGCCGGGTTTCATGGTGTCGCCGACTCGAGAGGTCCCGGGTTCGAATCCCGGTCGGGGCAGATATTTGTGTGATGAATACGAGCATTTGTACTCCAGTCATGGACGTTTAATATGTATTTAAATATAAATATACTTATACATGTACTGTATATGTATTCTATCCGTTACCCTAGTATCCCATAACACAAGCCTTACAGTGCTTACTTGGGGCTAGGCTAATTGGCGCGAGTTCCAAGTATGGGGAACCCGCTATTTTTTTCTCTCTATTTTTGTGTGGAAATCTTAACGCGGTACACAAAATACATCTACTTCCCAAGTTTCAACATTATAGTTCTAATAGTTCCAGAAAAAAGTGGCTGTGACATACGGACGGACAGGCAGACAGACAGACGTACCATAACGACGAATCCATAAGGGTCCCGTTTTTTGTCATTTCTTAATCTACGGCGGGAGACCTTGTACTAAGAAGAAACGGCAAGAAACTCAACAAGGGCTGTTTTTTTCTCCCTGTTTTATTATTTACAGAGTCGTCAAGTTGAAAGTCGCGGGCAAAAGGTATATCGAGACAAAGAAAACATCTTTTCAGGTCATTATGACCTCAATAGTACGCACTGAAATGTTACTAATTACATTAAAACTTCATCACATACGCTCTAATGAGGCGTAAAATTAATTCGTTTGCACTCTCCAGCCTGTGTTTTATTGGCACAGTTGTTGGCTGGTAACAATAATGACTGGAGTTATGTTTACGACTTCATTTTACTGATAAACAAAATAACTATTTGAAACTGTACTATTTTGTGTGTGTGACACAGGCAGGCAATGCCGCTCCTTCGCTGTATGCATAATCAAAATCATTTATTCAGTTTAGGCTGTAACAAGCACTCATGAATGTCTAGAAGCTACGCCATCGGTTCGTAAATCTACGGCGGGAGAGCTTGTACTGAGAAGAACCGGCGAGAAACTCAGCAAGGGCTGTTTTTTTCTCCCTGTTTAATTATTTATAGAGTCGTCATGCTGAAAAATGGCTTCAGAGATTATTCATGAAGTCACCTTTCATTACATAATGTGAAATTATACTTTAATTGTTCAGCTGCATTTTGATTGCTGTGTCATACAGTATAAATACAAATATTGATAAACAAAATATTTTTTGCAACTATACCGTGTTGTGTGTGTGACACAGGCAGGCAATTGTGTTTCTTCGCTGTATGAATAGATTTCTATTATAAAAAACAAAGAGCGTGCGCATCCCGGGACGCACGACAGAAGAAGGCTTGCCAGGTGGCCTAGAAATCCGGGATTATCCCGGAATTTTGCGTATACTCCCGTTGACTAGAGTCAACTAGAACTTATTGTCCCGGATTCCGATAATGTGCTAGTTTCGTAACAAAATAAACTCATTACGAAAGACACCGCTGGCCTGCTTGATGTTTTAATTCTGGGGGGTGATTGGGGGGGGGGGGGATATAAAGTAACTCAAAAGTAATATTTCAACCCAAACATTCTTGTAGCTCTTTCAATCAAACAAACACACTCTTGAGCTTTAACATTAGGGTAATAGATAACAAATAAGTTGTTATAATGTCAATGAATTTTTAACAGATACAGTTAATAGATTAAATTTTATTATAGATTGTATAGATTAATGTATTGGTTCTTTTATTTAAAAAAAATATGTAATTTAAAAACATTAAACTACTTCAAAACTGTTATTTATTTAATTAATAATTAAAAAATGGCGAAATTAAAGTTACTGTTTTAAAAAATAAAAAGATAAATATGTCTGCTAAAGCTTGCTAATTTTTAATTTTTCTTTTTATGTCGATTGAAAATTGTGACCGTCTACATAATATTATTATTTTTGAGTATAGCTTGTTGATAAGTAGATTGCAAAGGTTTTAGTAACATCAGTATGGAACTCCAAAACACTATATAGGGAACTAGCAAACCAGTGAACCAAATGTTCACCAAAAAAAAAAAAAATTTGAGAACTTCGGAGATTTTGTGTAGTTTCGTTTGAAATAGAAACCACGTGATTTCTCGAAAACCGGAAGTGCTACGTTACTCACATCCGGTTAGTAGTCTTATCAGACTATTCTTAACTTATAACTTAAACATTCTCTATATCTATCTCTTACGGTTTGGCCGCTGAAACAGCACCACGGACGGACGGACGGACTTGTCTAATAGATAAGAGATATTAATGCAGGCAAAGTGTTATATAAACATATATCTTACCATATTTGGTGGTGGCATTCCAGGAGGTCCTCCAAACGGAGGCGGCTGCCCCATCATATTGGGCGGCGGTCCCATCGGCCCCCCTGGTGGCATCATGCCAGGCGGGGGGCCAAAGGGAGGCGGCCCACCCATCATTCCCGGCGGGGGAGGGCCCATCGGTCCCCAGTTGTTGTCGAAGTTGGGGCCGTTGTTGGGTCCGAAGCGAGGCCCGCCGCGGCCCCGGAAGAAGCCGCGGCCCCGCATGGGGGGACCGCCGGGGCCGTAGCCGCGCCCGCGGAACCTCATCGGCGGCGGGGGGCCGTTCATCCATGCGGGGGGAGGCGGGCCCCGGCCTCCACGTCTGAATCAAGTTAAACAAAGGTTAGTTTAGAAAGCCATCGTCCCCGGATGTTGCTGCTGGCCTCTACTCGAGTCTGCGGACTTTCCATTAGAGAAATCCTTTGTCTTGCAAACTTTGATGACTTCCGTGGCCGAGTGGTTTGTACGACGGGTTTCATGGTGTCGCCGACTCGAGAGGTCCCGGGTTCGAATTCCGGTGGGGGCAGAGGTATGTGTGATGTATACGTGCATTTGCACTCCAGTCATGGATGTTTAATATGTATTTCTATATAAATATACTTATATATATATATATATGTACAGTATATGTATTCTATCCGTTACCCTAGTATCCTAGTACACAAGCCTTACAGTGCTTACTTTGGGGCTAGGCTAATTGGTGTGTGCGTTGGAAATATTTATTATTATTATTTAAAAGGGAAAAAACGGAACTCTTATAGGATCATTTTGTTGTCCGTCCGTCAGTCCGTCAAGACCCTTCTTCTCAGGGACGCGTAGATCTACCACGCTGAAATTTATATCAAATACTCAGGTCTACTGTCCCTTGGAGCTGTGAAAAATCAAACTTCTAAGCCAAAGCAATCAAAACATACATCGGTTTGTGCCGTGAATTTCCGCAAATTTTCCAACTGGCAAGGGAATCAAAACCTACATGGTACTTCCCGTAAACTCAGAATCTTGACGTTTGCTACGAAGCAACGTTATATCGCATAGATAAATTTTAGTTCCATCACCTATATTTTTTTAAACAATTATAATATACCTACAGATTTCTACAGAACCCTCTGTCACGATAATATTATCTATGCAGTATTCTATCTTCATACAAACGGTCGGAAAGCGTGTCATACCTACGCCACTCGAGTTCGCGCGGCACCAGGCGGGCATCCAGTCGCGAATGCGCCGCCGCCGCAGCGACGACCGAACGCGAACGGTGTCAATTGTTTTTTAAGCAGTTAGCCGTGCTTAAACGTTTGTATTGTGAATATTTGATTGAATTAAGTAGATACCTACATAATTTAATATGGCAAAGAGTTTGAGAATTTTTGGTTGCTTGAACTCTTCAATAATTAAACTTTTTATACGTATGCGTATTTATTATACTATTAAATTTAATAATAAACCTTTTCGTACGTCTCAGTCGAGGCGTTAATATTTTTCTGTCTCAAATCTATATATTTTTTTATTATATATTACACATAAAATAACATGTATTTTATGAAACACTTCCTAATTCATACACAACATTTTTTTTACATATGAAATAAAATATTTTCAATCAAAAAACTAGAAAGAAACTCAATTATATAGATGAAATTAAAATACTGTAGGCGGGCAGCCCTACCGCCTGTCTACGCCCCGCTCGGCCGTAGGCAGTTATTTCAAGGACAGGGCCGAGTCACAATAATGTATAGATAATATTACCGTGGCCGTAGGCAGTTATTTCAAAGACAGGGCCGAGTCACAATACTGTATAGATAATATTACCGTGCCTCAGTGCGCAAATCCGACTCGCACTTGGCCGCGTTTTTTTTCAACGCTGGCAAAACCTCTATTCACAGACGTTGGCTCCCTTAACAGGCTCACCAACGAACGGAGCTCACACCTAGCCTCTCGCAAGTCTCACGGGAGCGAAACGGAGAAGCCGTTAAGCAGTCCGCGCGGCTTACGAGCGCTTACGGCATACTACCCGCTAAAAAACCCTTCGAATACCCTCTACGCTGTTAGGGGCCGTTCAAGTATTACGTAAGCACTATAGGGGGTCAGGGGGGTCTTTGCGTTACTTATTTTTGACGACATGGGGGGGGGGGGGGGGGGTCGAGATAGTGATTACGTCAGCATCATGGATTCGGGTGTCAATGACTGAAGATTGTATACATATACCAAAAATTCCAAAGAAATTGGTTTTGTTCGTAATAGGACCTTACTAAATGTTGAATACTGTATGAATAAAGTTTGTTTCAATGAATATTATGTGCGTTAAAGTCCTCTATCCTAAGGCTATTTAAGTAGTGCTGGTCATGAAGCTCATGAAAGCTCATGAATGAATAAAAAAAACAGAATACATTAAAGGAAAAATGCATATAGAGGTAACAATGTTTACGTAAGCACGTGAGGGGGGGAGTAAGAGCTTTGCTTACTTTTGCTGACAAGGGGGGGGAGGGGGGTAAATAATTGTAATAAATCTGCTTATGTAATACTTGAACGGCCTCTTAAGTGCGGCACCGCGAGATCCCCGTTGAGGGACTTCGCCGCGTCACAAGGTCTTCGTCTTAATGAGGGCTATCGTGTATGAATCCGCCGCTAGAGGCGCTAGTGTAGCGTGAGGTCTCCGAAATGTCAAATGTTATTGCTTGTTGGTTGACTACGCGGATTTATTTCTAATTAAAATAATGTTGTGAATAATTGGTAACAAATTCGGCTTAATTATGGCAAATATGAGTTATGTGGCAATGAATGTCAGTTATTAAAAATTTGAGCTTAGAAAAATGATTATGTTCCCATTTTTTCCGAATAAAATGGAACTGCGCGTCACTGTGGCATGGCCTATTATGTTTAGGATATGGTTCTTTTGTGTTAAAATACGATCTTAATGTAACCTTTGATTTCATGTGCGTATTAATAAACTTTAAAAGTTACAATTTAGGACCTCACTCAACAGTGGCGCCATCTGGTGAGGCAGAAAACGGTAGCCCTCATTGTCAACGATCGTACGATGACACGACGCGTTCTATGATGTGCGATGATTTTGAAGCATACAGATTTCGCACACAGGTACATTATTTTCATTGCAGAATGAGATTGTATTGTGTCATCGTATGATCGTTACAAATTGGATGATGCCTTACTTAATTACTAGCTGACCCAGCAAACTTTGCACGACCATAAAAATAGGAGTTTGTGGTAGAAAGGTTAAAAATTTCGAGTTATAAGTTTTCTTAAAGCGAATTTAAAAAAAAATTGAAGAGACAGTTTTAATATAGTGTGTCTGGGAATGACTTAGCGATAATTTAAGGGCCTCAAATATACTTAATTTTATCGACAAAAATACCCATACGGCGATCTAACCCCCCTTTTTGGAATGGCAGCCATTTGAAATATTTTTTTTTTATTTTAGATAACCCTTCCATAAAATATTGATTTTTCTGGACATAAAGGTGCTACAGATATGTAATAAATGTTGTTTGAAAGATAATACTATCACCTTTAAATTAAAACAGAACAATATGAAACATTTAACTTAAAAATGTCATAAAATATCTTTTTAGAGATCTCTTCCTCTTCATATGCGGTAGAAGTATGAGAGAGAGGCATACCAGCAAAATCTCTCTATAATATTCAAGAACACCTTGGCCTGTCAAGAACAGCAGTAAGTTTAATTTTGGAACAAGTAACTAAAGCTGAACAAGGTTCCTATTAAATTTGGCTCGGAAGAGCGAACAACTCAATCAGTGAAGGTGAGCGTTGATGCGCATCTCCTAGAGGGGTTCCTTGAACTTACACTTGGGTTACAAGTCCCGGAAACTGCAGTTTCTCTCCCCGCCCTACGATGAACCCAGCACCCGCACAGTGAATCAGTCAAGTCGTTTCAGAGGAAGAATTTTAAATAGGTATTAGATAAAACTATTTTGCTGTAGGATTTGTTCTTCATGTTACAAGGGCTTAGTATAAAGGCCATTCCTATGAGTGGGAAATTTCAAATCCTATTTGCTTAATTGCCATCTAACAGCAACACAATCTATGCCAAAATAATAATATGGTGCAGCCACATTTTAATCATAAATCAATAAAATCTTCAGTCATAATTTACACAGAAAATGATGACATCATCCTGTCTGAATGCATGGCGGTAAAACTGTACTTCCAGGGCCCAAAAGGTGATACTTGTTTTTTTTTGTAGAAAAGGTCTTTTTAACAGTTTTTTTTTTCTGGCGCTTCGCCGGCCGCTGCCGCGGCACGCTCGCTTTGCTCGCTCGGCTCGCGCGTTATGGTCACAACACTAACCTAACCTAACCTAGTGTAAAGTATCACCACTTGATAAGAAAAGTAAAAATTTTCAGTATTTTTTTCTAAAAAACTACCAGTGCATAAGTGTGACATTTTTTTAAATAATGTGGTTAACAGAAACCTTTTTAACAACAAAAATGCGAAATTATAACCAACAAAACTGTGAAGTTTTTACTTTTGGGCCCTGGAAGTACAGTATATCCTGCATGGCTTCAAAGTTCAAAAAGACAAAAGGTTTGCTCATTATTACTGTTACTGAAATATTCCATTTCATTTTTATATTACATCATCATCATCATCACCCTATTAATGTCCCCATTGTTGGGGCACAGGCCTCACATCGAGATTGGGCCATGACCCAGCACGTGGGCCCAGTGCGGATTGGAGGGTGTTAATGACTGCAGATGCAGCCGGGACCAACTGCTTAACATGCCTTCCGAATGGAGGAACTCGTGATAGAACATTCTCGGTCACCCATCCAATGAACGACCACTGCGAAAGTTGCTCAACTGCAATGTTGCGTCCAAACCACCAGCTCCATCAAGCTCTTCATTTATATTACACTTTATATTAAAAAAAATCAAAATTATTACATATGTTTTAGTATGTGATGGATTATGTCCCATACATTGAACGCACTGTGGGTGTGGGTAAATCCCCGTTAAGCCATTAAAAAGAAGAAGAAGAAGAAGTATGCAACCATGATATCTACCTACATGACGTTGCTGAAAATTTCAGCAACTCTTTCGATGAACAGTGCAATATCAGAGAGCAAATATTTACTAATTGGAGAGGGGGGGGGGGTCTAATCGTAAGCTTGGTAACAGTTTAATGACACAAATACAATATTTCTTGTAATGATTGGAACATCCTCAAGCTTCTACTGGTTGTGTTTAAGTTTTCATGATGCAAAACATTCGCTTACAGCATAAAACAGCAGTGCAGTATAAGCTATGAAGTAAATCATTGGTTTATATTTTAAAATGGGAATCATTTAGAAATTAACATAGTTATATTCTACACTTCTCTCAATATCTTTCAGCTTTTTAGAAATATTTGTAATTAAAACGGGGAATCTATCTATTATTTGCATATAAATCAACTTAAAGTTCAAAATAAGGATTATCTTTGTACATTTGTTAAATTAAAAGCTTACAAATTTTAACGAAGTGATAACTATGGTACAATGAAGCAGTCAAGATGCCATGTATTCAATGATAAATTCAAACATATAATTTTATGCTGTTTTATTCAAATAAAATATATATAGTACTGAATAACCAAGTAGTCAGAAAAATAAAAACCACACTAATTGAATGGGCTTCAAAAAATTAGTTTGCATGCATTAGAGACAGTCAAAAATTATCTAAAATACTACACAAATAAATACAGAATTTTGCTCATTAAAAACACGAATCAAATAAGAGGAAGAAGTACTATTGTGCAGTCAAATGAGAACGCCGGGTGGGCGCGAAAAGTAACTTGGGAGACAAGATTATCAAGGCCATCACGAAAAGTAAATTCTCTTACCTGAAATTACCACGCCCTCTGTTGCCTCTAAAGTTATTATCGTCATCTTCGTAACCTCCTCCGTCCTCATAACCCATCATATCAGCGAAATCCTTGGGCACATCACCCCCAGGAGGTTCATTCATTTCGTTGCCGCGATTCTGCATTTCGCTCATTATAGAGTCCTGCGCGTCCATATATTCTTCACCCATTTTCACTATTATTTGAAAAACACTACGCAAAAATTAATAAGTCCACATTACACTAGCTTTTTGTATGAAATTCGCATCTCAAGTCAACACCGCAAAGGCGGAAATAACAAATTGCTCAAAATGGCGGCTATGATGGCTTCTCGTAGGGCTGTTCATTGACGTACGTTGTCTGTGGATAATTCAATTGCATGTAGTTGTATGTAAATTGAATAACTCTAGTATTCAATTGTACTTCAAATCATAACGTTTGTTAATCTTAGAGCATTTACGATCGTAAATGCTCTAAGTTGTTAGTGGATCCGATTCTAGTACGATTATGTAAACTTAAAATAAATGAAACCAATCCATCCTTTTCATTCTGTATAGAGCATAACAAGGATACACTGTTGTTAATTTTGGAGTTCAGAGAATCATGCCAGCACTTACATAAATCAATGAGTGAGGTTTACGTCCTAATTTTGAATAGTGAATTTTATGATGCTGTAGATATTTTGTTACAAATACGTAAGTGAAACATTGGTGCCAATTTTGGCGTGATTCTCTAAACTTAAATCTAAATTTAATAACAGTCTCTCATTTTCATTCTGTATAGAGAATGACAAGGATATACTGCTGTCAAATTTACGTTTAGGTTTAGAAAATCATACTAGAATCGACACCATTGATGCCTTCTCTACGTTCGCGTTAGCTAGAACCACAGACTATTATATGCTTGCTAGCATTAATATGGCATATCATATGGCTATTTATTGTTTTTGTATTTATAACTGTACAGTAGTACATCCATAAGGTAATCTTAAGGTAAGAAAAGGAAAGGAATATCTTTTAAAAAAATAGCAAAATACAAATAGCTACTTAAAATTACCATGATAAAAAAGTATATAACTTCGGTCAAGTGAAAATAAGAATTTTATTGAAATTGCATTTCAAATTAAAAAGAAGAAATTAAAACTTAAGAATAGGCTGCGTGACTGCGTGGACTCAACTTCTCATGCATGCCTTCTGCTTCATTCAAATTAAAGAGAAGCTCGCACGGGACTCGGGGTGTGAATGTACTCGGGAACCGGTATAGTGTTTCCCTATATTTTATTCGATTCTTGATAAAACTTCGTTACGCATTCTTCTGACATAAGAAAATTAGGAATATTAAAATCTTTTCACGTATGTTTGTTTTGCAAGTGTGAAACTTTGAAAATACTATGCGCGTTGAGTACTTAGCTCATGAAATCATGTTTTTCTTCTCTTGTTAATAACAACAAAATCGATTATTCGCTTCGATATCAAAGGGTCGTTTCTGTGTACTGATTTTTAGTTCTCGTTACGTCCGTTGTGCCGCTTCTGTTCGAGTTTCCTTCTAAATTTGACAATGACATTTTGCACTCGCAAACCATTCGAATTCGATATTGGTTCGTGCTAAAAGGGTACAGCTTCTTGGATATTGCATTGCCATCCGATTTTCAGGTCTTTCAACTTAACTTCAGCTTTCAGCTATATCGTGATCCAGGAAGTACGGTTCAATAACTTCAATAACTTGCAAGATAAAGAAAATATGACCCAGGCCCAACAGTAGGAACATAATGGAGTTGATGATATAAATAAACAATTTTCGCTAACATAGGCTGGTCGAGGTATGTGGAAAAAATAACCGGCCAAGTGCAAGTCGAACTCGCGCACTAAGGGTTCCGTAAAATAAAACGGCATTTTGAAAAAGCATGGGACACTAGGACATCAAACTTTCACTCTCATAACAATTTAAATTTTGAGATAGAGAGACCCGGTATTAATGGTCCATAAATCATCCTTTTTTTATCGTTGGGGAACCCCCAACGAATTCGATCGTTTGACCTCCTTAACCCTAGATTCATAAACATACTTGGGAGATACACTATTCATAAACATTCGCCTCTCAGACGTATATATTATTTCGATGATATTAGATCTCTACAATAAAATAATTCAATAAAATACATTTGAATTTTAAAAGTTGTTTATTAATTAATAGTAAAATGAAACAGAAATGATGAAAAAAAAATATTCTGTGCAATCAACACATAACATTCCTCGGTGATCCATACACATGAACTTTTTGCATTGGGTACAAAAGAACTTTGTCATTCGACGTTTTTTATAATTGCAGAAAGCACAATTTTTTTCTGTGATCCACTGGGTTGTGGTTGAGCAGTGGACGAAGTTTCGCCAAGTACTTCTGCAATTTTCCTTTTTAGGCATCGCTTCAAAGTTGGCATTATTACCCCCTACAACCTCACAAAATTTACCTCTTTATAATATTAGTATAGATAAAATAGGCAAATATCTCATTTCATCTTTATAAACTAATAATAATAATAAATATTTACCTTGAAATATACTCCAGTTCTCGAATATATCACGGCTTCAAATAAACACACCTGGGTGCTTACTCTTGAATAGGCATGCGTCCGATATATCAAAACGAATCCAAAATCCGATTTCAAACACAAATCGATACCGAACGATTTCTCAACAAGAAAATCCGATTTCAGAAATCTAACCGAACCAAAACGCTAGCGATCTAATACCACAAGTATCCAAATGTAAATCGGATTCGAAATTCGTGCTTTCGTTTTCAGAAGTCAGATTTCGTGCTCGGAAGTCCGATTTCGATTTGCTGTTTACGGAAATCTATTGCTCTTCTCTGAGGTGGGATTATTTATCACTGAAAAGATATGTCGTCTAAAAACATCAAAAATAAAAAAATAAAATTCATTTATTTCGAGCAACATAACTCATAATCATAATAATAATGCATAATCAATTATTGTAGAAATAGGCACATGTCACTTTTTTTTTTAATCAAAAGTCGAGCACCTTACATTTTTGGACGCTAACCTGAAGTAATTAGGTTTGATTTTGTAAATGGTTTGAAAAATAATAAAAACAAACAGAAAAACAAAAAAAAAAAATACTAAAAAAATATTTAAAAAGAAATCATTGTATAAAAGCCGATTTTTAAATGCGCCGCAAAAGTTTTACTCTTAACCCTAAACATAACTTTTCTGCTAGTCCTAAGCCTAGATTTAAAGCATGAAGGAAAATCGCGAAAATCTACGAGTATCCTTGCTTCCTACAATTAATTGTTTGTGATTGTCGTTAGCTAATAAAACCAAATCATAACACAAACTAGTGAATTGGCTAAGTTCGGCACATCTGAAATCGGATATCTAAAAACGGATTTTAAAATCGATTTTGAAATCTGAAATCCGATAAATATCCGTTTGCGTTCAAAACCAAAAACGCCCATGTCTACTCTTGAAACCAATCCCGATCGATCGACATTGGCATTGTGACGTTTCGTACTCTTGAGTTGCAACACTAGCGCCAAATTGGACTCATATTGCGCGGAGATTGGTTAAACTAAATGGCATTGAGTTTTACTTGAATCCGTACTCTTGACGCTATTTTGACAGCTGTAATTGCGATTGTATTGTGGTATAATTGGATAGCGATTGAGATTTTTACAATAACAAAAAAGGTACTGTGTGTGTATTGAGTTCGATTATTTTAAGTTAAAACAAGCATTTTGTGTGAGATATGGCGCGATTAGCTCTTCCCTTCGTTATTTTACGTAATGCCCGAAGAAATGAACTCAAAATAAGAAGAAATGAGCGTCGTTTGGCGCGTTATATGGATAGGGCATTCTCCATGGGCGAAGAAGAATTTGTGGCAAATTACCGCGTCACAAAAGACTTATTTAATTTGATATAAGAAGAGCTGAGACCCTTCTTACCTGTTTCAAAGAGGAGAAGTGACATATCACCAAAATATAAAGTAAGTGCCTGATAGAAATTGTGTGATATAAACAATTAATGTTATTATTTGATTATGAACTAAGTTAACATAATAATATCAATGTTTTGTTGATATAACCTTATAATATGTCATTTAGATGATTGTTTAGAACAATGCATGTATGCATAAATTTTAAACTACATTCTCATTTTGCAGTTATGGGTAGCATTATCATTCTTTGCAACTGGTAGTTATCAATGGATAGTGAGTACACAATAATCTTATCCAATTTACTAAAAGACTTTTTTCTTTTCAGATTTTATGAAAAATTTGGAATCCTAAATTTGTCATAGGTGGCACACATGTTGCCATAGTAAGCCCACTGAGAATGAAGAGAGGTTTCTCAATAGAAAACATTTTCACTCAAGGAATGTTATGATTGTAAGTCCTTAAACAAGGAGGGTTCATTAAATACTATATTATATATTTTTTTTTTGTTTATTTAAAAATGCCATTGCTTTTGTTATAGATCTGCGATGCTGATTTGAATATTCTGTCTGTTGATGCCTCTTTTGGTGGTGCGACACATGACAGTTTTGTTTGGCATCAGCACAGCATAAGGAGTCATTTGATTGCTTTAAATGATGTCTGAGAAAATGTTTTTTGTTAGGTAAGTCATACATAGTAATAGTATAAATTTCATATACCGAGTTAATAATATTTTTATAAAAATTATATTCTCAATGTACACAACTATAAATACAGACTAATCATGGAAACTAAAGTGTGAATTTATTATTTTTAGCTGATTCTGGATATACTCAGATGGTGTATATGATGACTCCTATTGTGGGTGCTGCTGAAGGGTCTCCAAAAGAGTACTATACTAAAGTGCATTGTTCTGCTCGCAATGTTGTGGAATGTACTATTGGCGTACTAAAGAATAGATGGCGATGCTTATTAGGGCATAGGGTGCTTCATTATCATCCTAGTAAAGCATGTTGTGTGTTACACAATATCTGCAACCAGTCCCACAATTATTATCATATTGAGGATACTGAGATATTGGATGATGCTGAAATATTATACCAGCATCTCAAGAAGCTCATGGGACTGGTTCATCAGTTGCTGAACTCAGGAAAGGTATTGAAAAAAGAAATTCTTTGGTTCAGCAACTACGGTCAGCTTGTAGGTGATTTTAATAAAGGTTGTATCTGTAGTGTAAAATAAAACATAAATTTAAAGTTGATTTATAATGATCTAATTAAAGTGAGTTTCTAAATTAGTTAACACTGTAAAACTTTAATAAGTTGTTTTAGTAATCCTAAGCATAGTCTCAGAAGTACAACAACTACTTTACAATTTCAACTTGGATATATTTAAAAATTGTTATAATTTTATCTAACTTCCTTATTATATTTTGTGATAGTAATTTGTGTCATAATTATTATTTTTTTATTACAATCTTGTAAATAAAACTAATACTAATTATATATATTGTAAGTTACATTATTTGGTTGTCTTTATTTCAGTCTTGTTAATATAGCTAATATTTTAATCTATGGTA